TTCTTTACAGAGAGAGTGGTGAGGTGCTGGAATAGGCTGCCCAGAGAGGCTGTCGATGCCCCGTTCCTGGAGGTGTTCAAGACCTTGTTGGATGCAGCCCTGGGCAACCTGCTCTAGTACCATCAGATCTGGAGATTGGTGGCTCTGTGTGTGGCAGGGGGATTGGAACTTGATCGCTGGGCCCGTTCCAACACAAGCTATCCCATGATTCTAGGAATGATTATTCATATTAATAACAATAATATAATATAGGTTCAATAATAATATAAGGTCAAAATATTTCAGATTTCCTCACAAATAATATCACATCTGGTTTAGGAGATGGTACACAAAGGTTTAAAATATCCATATTATACTTAGTGGGGTCTGTTGATTTACATATCAGATAGTAGGTAATATTCATTAGTAAGCCTGTTATTTACCAAAAGCTGCTGTAAGCGCCTTTCTTGTCAGATGTACCAGGGAAGATCAGATTTTTGGTTCCTGTAGTCAACTCATCTTTCACTGCCTTGATGTTTCTCACCAGTGTTTTTCTCTTCCCAAAACCATAAATGGAAATTAGATTCTGCACTGACTGTTGTCTTCTCAGTAAATTTAACAGTAGCCAGTCATGGCCATGTTGGCTTGTGAAGTGACACAAACAGTAACAACAATAACACTATTAAATGTGTGTTTTGATTAATTCTGTTATTTAAAACAGATTAATTTAAATGTATTGCATTTGTGTTTGTGAACTCAATTTTCATGTTTCTTTCCCAGAAGAAATACTAGTTCCAGTTTGGGTTTTCCCATCTTGATATTTTATTGCATCTCATGATAGATGTGATATCAGGATGGTGGCACATCTCTTAAACTTACCTACTCTCTGAGAAGGAAAAAGAACAGAAAAAGGAAAAAGAAAAAAAAGAAAGACCAACTGAAAGCATTTGTGCAAATATTTATAATAAAGAATCCTACTTCTAAGAAAAAATATCTAGAGTATGGTGTATAGATATAGGAAATTCTATCCAGTGAATTGAGCATTTGTGGAGCTGGTGTTCCAGTCCATTAAGAGGCTTCATTTGGGAGTGGTATTACATATGTTCACTGTAGGGACACAGAAATGTTTAAGATTTTTCAATCTAAATATGGCTTGCAAAAGTATTTGTACCAAGGCCACATTCTGATCATTCTCCAGAAATAAATACTGCAAGTTAAATGCATTTTAAAGAGAAAAAAACCCACAGAACCTGCCATGTTTATTCCAAGTTTATTTCATATCCATGGCAAAACTGAGAAACTTGAACTTAACTATAGTTAATGCAAAACTGGAGTTAGAAGTATTTTGCATCTTACCTAGTGACACTTATTCCAAATCCTAGTCTACATTCTTAGAATTGTGACCTTCCTGGTTGAAAATGTGAAATCTTTTTGTGTGTACAATATATTAAGGTCTCTCAGATCTTTTACTTGTCTCGCATAGAGTAAATACATACAGAATGCGTACAGAGAAATCCTCATCTTGAAATTATTGCAGAGATAAAATGAGATACCATGAGCTCCCTATACTCACTGGAAAAGTACTGTATCTTCTGATTGTGACCTTCTCTGAGAAGGGACAACTTTTTGTTTCTACAGGCCATCTTTCCGGTGACAAGAATGGTGTTTCTTTCAGCGTGCAGAATGGTGATGTGTGTCTTCAGGACTTTTCAGGCAAACAACTTGTATTTCAAGAAAAAGATGACACTGGCAGCCAAAATAGCCGTATCTCACTTAGAAGGACTTCAAACAGGGGAAGCTTTCCTTCTGCTGAGAAAATGTGATTTCCTTTTGAACGGAACACTGTTTTTACAGTATGAAGTAGAGATTTACTTCAACAGTTTTACATAATGTGAGAAGACCAAAGACTGATTTTATTTAATATATTGTCTTGAAACTTCCAGGCAGCCATGTAATGGCTTGACAACGACAATTATTAATTGGAAAAAAAAATGGGGAGGAAGCTCCTGTTCCGACAAGGTATTTCGGATGTCGAATTACAGCTGGCACGTTTCTATTTTGATTCTTCATTAGAGATCTTTGAGGATTTTTACGCTTAAAGTTTTGTTTAGTTTTTTTTTAAAGTACAATTAAGTATCTGGATATAATGCATAGTAGTATTGTATAAATGTAGGAAATTACAACTTGTGTGTTAACTTTAAAAATGTTAGCTATACTGTCTTCAACTTTTTGTATGTTAGAGTTGCAGGTTAGTGCTGTACATAAGGAGGAGAATGCCAGCCTTTAAATATCTTAGTGGTAGTTTTATATTTATTTCTTGTAATATAAATTTAAATATTCTTTTGTATAGAAAAATAATTGACATTTTGTTTTAACTTTTATTGTACTTCGCATTTGTCTTTAATTGAAATAATTAACAGAATGATACAGAAGTTAATGTGTTCAGTTAGTGAAACCACTTACTGTGGTTTGCCAGAGACAGAACTGTATATGTGAACACCATTATTTTTTAATCCTTAGTGTCCTCTTTCACTGCAACACAGAGAGGTAGAGAAACTGGGTGTCATCAAAGTAGAGCACTAAGAATGAGGGAGTGATGAATAAAGTCACCTGTAAGTTATTAAATGTAGCTAAGTTATCTTAGTAGCTGGACTAAGTTGGTGGGAGCTTTTGCCATTGATTTCACCAGGTTCAATATTTTATCTTGAGTTCCAAGTATTAAACACACTGCCATTTCTCATCTACAGTGATTTTAAAAAGAAAAAAAAAAAGTGTTACTTTTTTTGAATAAAAAGAATACAGAAAATAATGCCGTTATATTTAGTAGCGTAGTAAATTGTTTGTTTTGTTGTGTGGCTGTTTTGAATGGGCAGCTCTTGAGCAGTTACAATCTATTTCTGCTTGCATTTTGGTCCTTCTTTGGCAAACCAAATTCTGAGGCCCCACCTCAGTTACTTCCTGAATCATCATCTAATTTCCTCTGTGATATTTCTTTGAAAAAGGTGGATTTTTGGCTCCTCATACGCAACGGTCAGAAGAAAATAGAGCCCATACAACACTGTGAAGATTTCTGAGCAGTGTGAGCACAGATTGTGCCTACTTCTTAGACAAGTGTGCAGTTGTGACTTTCTTTTGCTCCGTGGCTTCTTGTGGAAAGGTTGGATAGTGCCAGAGCAAAAGCCAGTGCCGCACTGCAGAGTGCCAACCCATGGAAAGGGGCTTTCTGAGGCAGGTGCACACTGGGTGGGAGAAAGAGTTCTGCTTTCCCAGAGGATTCAGTAAGGATCTCTGGAAACACTTCTCAACAAAGTACATCGGTGGAACATGTTTCTGGGGCTCTGGTGCGGTTGTTATTTACTAAACACTCATGAGGTTCTAAATGCAGTGCCTGGATTCTTTTGGTCACCTATGCCTGAGACTATGCAGAGTATGCCTTTAAAGTGAGAATTCAAAGCATTTGTTGTGTTTATCCACAAGGTTTTAACTGCATGTTAATAAAAGAAAGTACTGGAATGCTAGTAGGTAGAGTGCTTTTATGTGAATGCTTTAACTGTTGGTGAATTGCCTTTGCACTGTTTCTTGTAAATTTATTTAATGTTTGTGTATTTATATTTTCAACTGTAAAAAAAAAAACAACAATAAATTTACAGCAAGTAAACACAAAATACATAAATTTTGTCTTTTAGCTAAATGTGTCCTTTTAGTGGATTGTGTTACAGTTCTTGAAATGATGTGAGCTGGAGTATGTCACCTCATGAAGAAAGTGCTGGCATGGCCCTTGCTTTTTTGTGTCCATATCATATTTCACCTTTCATGGCTCAAGCAGATCTGTCTTTCGCAGAGATATAAGTCTGATATAAGCAGTCGGATGTAAGTCTGCCCGGTCAGTGCTTGTTCCTCCAGTCTGCTGAAACTCTTCCATAAGAATGCCATGAGTAAAAGAAACATAGAATCATTAAGGTGGGAAAAGACCTCTAAGATCAGGTCCAACCATCAACCTGTCCCCATTATACCCATTGACCACATCCCTCAGTGCCACATCGACACAGTTCTTGAACACCTCCAGGGATGGTGACTCTACCACCTCCCTGGGCAGCCTGTGCCACTGCCTCACCACCCCTTCTGAGAAGAAATCTGTATTAATATCCAACCTGAACTGCCCGTGGCACAATTTGAGTCCTGTTGCTGTTACCTGGGAGAAGAGGCCAACCCCCACCTCACCACAACCTCCTTTCAGGCATTTGTAGAGAGTGATAAGGTCTCCCCTGAGCCTCCTCCGGGGCATGGCTGAATTTGGCTTCAGCAATTCTGTACTAAAAAGTATATTCTACAGTTACAGCTTGGACTTTTCATTTGTTTCTATTTTTGCATCTCAACTTATGCTGGGATTTATTTTAAACATTCTTATTTGATTTATTCCTAGGCATGGGAATTTCACCTTACTTGGCCATACACATACTGTAGTAAAGTTTCACACTCCCGGCAGCCTGTTGGTGCAGCCCAGTGAAAACCATCAATAAAGGCGTTGAAAAACCATTTGCACACCAGGGGGCGTGGGGACCGAGCAGCTGCCTAGGCAAATTTGGGTTAGCTCAACCGCCTTCTTAGGTCATAAATACAAACACACACACAAAAAAAGGTCATTAATAAGTAGTCATATTGTGCTTTATACAACTCTGTGGTTGTTCCGCTTCCAGTTCCTGGTACTTCATAGAAAGCTTTGCAACTCTAAGCTGTGTTATGCTCTACAGAATACGTATCCCTTCGGTACTCGGACTTTTGTGCCCTGCCAGCAGCGTAGCCATAGCAACCCTTTATCTGGGAGAAAAGTGGCACCGCTCCCTGCCCCGCCCCGCCCCGCCCCGCAGCGCCGCCGGGACCGCTGGGCTCCGCCGGGTATCGGCGTAGGGCCGCGGGCGCTGAGGGGAAGCGGCGTAGGGCCCCGCCCGGCCGCCGGCAGGGGGAAGGGCCGCGGGCTGGGAGGGCTGGCGCGCCGCCCGCCGCGCACGCAGAGAAACGGCCGCCGCCATCTCCCGCTGCCGGCGCGCCTATGGCGGCCGGGCGGTGAGACGAGGCGATGAGGAGCCGCAGTAATTCGGGAGTGCGCCTGGACGGCTACGCCCGCCTGGTACAGCGGACCATCCTCTGCCACCAGGTGAGGGCAGCGTCGCCGGTGTAGCGGCTGGGGTTCGGCGCCTGGGTCGGGGAGAGCGGGTGGAGGCGGCTGTCCGCCCTTCCCGGGCTGCGGCAGCCGGGCCCGCACCTGCAGCACTAAGGGCTGCCCGCGTTCTGAGCGCTGAGTGCAGGTGTCGGCGCTGCTGGGGAGAAGCTGTCACCGGCTCCCCGTGCCTTGGCTCGTGCAGCCTGCGCAGCTCCGTTCGTTCTGCTGGGTGCTCCTGCTTCAGGTGTGTGTGCTGAGGATGGGGGGCATGCACGGTGTTGTGTTTCTTTTAAAGTGGTTCCCTGCGCAGAGAGAAGGGCAGTGGGGCTTCTTGTGTGAATCTAGTCCCAAATGCACTTCACTGCAGTGACTTAGAAGAAATTGCAAAGCAATCATAAGTGAAACGTCTTTAGATGTAAGGAAAAAATCTTTAACAGTGAGGGGGTGAGGCATCTCTGGTTGCCCATAGATGTGGTTGATGCCCTGTCTCTGGAGGCTTTCAAGGCGAGGCTGGATCAGGCCCTGGGCAACCTGATGTAGCTGTGGTGTCCCTGTGCATTGCAGGGGAGTTGGACTAGATGGCCTTTAAAGGTCTCTTCCAACTCTAAGGATTCTGTGATTCTATGACTCTTAACTAAAGAGGTGAGCACCCAGAGCCCAACAGGTCAATAAGATTTATACCATCAACTCAGTAAGATTTATGCTATCAGCTGTTTCTGTGGGCACAAGCTCCAGGCACCTGAGAACTGTTATCATTAGGTGAACTCCTGAAAACCTACCAGCAACAAAAAGCAAGGATCTGGTGTGAGCAGTATGAGACAGCACTGCTGGGCTCTCACCATGGTGGGCTGTGGGAGCTGCCCTGTACTGCTCTCCTGGCCCTGCGGGATGACCTTGGGCTCCTTCAGCAGCTGCTGGGGAGCTGGGCCTGAACTGAGCCACTCACGTCCTGTGAGCAGCCAGACAGAAGAGCAGCAGGCGGCAGAGGTGCTGCCGAGACAGGGCTGTACAGCTCTGGTGTGCGGAGGTGACCTTGTGCCCGGCATCCAGCAGCATGCAGATTAAGCTGCTGTGCTCTGACAGAGCTCATGTTCTCTGAGACGTGGCTTGGAGAACGTGAAGTGTGTTTGGGAACATTGCGTTTTGATAAAGGTGTGTCTGACAGGGCAGGGGTCAGGTGTCCCTGCCACAGCAATTGATCTGGCATTCGTAACAGTTGCTCTGTTTGAACACACAGCTGAGAAACAAGCGTAAAAGTTAATGGCAGCGAGGCAAAGGGAATTAATGATTAAGTGAAAAATGTTGTGAAGTGTTTGAGATGCAGGAGACTATGCAGTACTCTGGTTCTCAAACGGTGTTGCTACTGAATGCTACCAGAATTTGCCGTTCTCTGCACTGGAACATAGAAAGGCTTTGCATGCATTCATGCTTTAGCTTCCATAAACCAAGTGAGGAAATAGACAGAAACACTTTGCCCACTTCCTAGAAGAGAAGCAATTCTTTTTTATTTCTTCAAGACCATACCACAGCATGGTCACACAGACAAGGGCAGATCCCAGCTCAGTTTCAAATGTTAAATCGTTACTCTGTTTTCCTTCTAAATACACACAATTTAGATTTGTATTTCTTCATTGTGCTTCGGCTGTCTCCGAGTGGCGTAGCTCATCAACCTGGGTGGGTGAGGGTGCCCTGATGGATTCTATAAGCTTTGTGTCCTGAAGTGCTCAAATAACTAAATTTTGCACTTCGCATGTGTGAGTTCAGGAAAGGACTGGGCATCTCTGTTGCAAAACTGTGAGAAGCTGTATTCTGCAGCCAGTATGAAAACCCCAAATCCTTTCTTTCTCCCTCCTCCAACATCTTTTGATATGGAAAGAAGTGGTTTATCGTAATAGATGGGACTTCAGGTAATAATGTTTGTTCTTTACCTTTTCTACCATGTTCAGAACCCAGTTACAGGGCTGCTTTCAGCTGGTACGGACCATAAGGATGCATGGGTACGGGACAATGTCTATAGCATCCTGGCAGTGTGGGGGCTTGGCATGGCCTACAGAAAGAACGCAGACCGGGATGAGGACAAGGCCAAAGCCTATGAGCTTGAGCAGGTATGCTAAAGTTCAGTGCAAAGCAACTATGCTATGTTTTGCCTTTTTTTCATACGGTCATGGTTTTGGTGTGCTTGCATTGCTGTTATGTCGAGGATGTGGCACTGTTTTCCCAGCATGGAATACATGTTTTGTTCTTGTGACAGCAGTGTTTATGTAACAGAATGGTCTGTGTTCCTAGCAGCCCCCCAGGAGGTGAGATTTGGAGAGCTGAGCAACAGAGAGGCTAACATCTCCATATATATATACTGAAAGTAAACTGGTAGGAGTAAAACTCCCATTGTTCAGCACATTATTGTAAACTGCGCTTCTAACAGATTTTATGGCCTCGTTTAGAAGCCTCCCTGATTAAACTGTGAGATCCTTCATGAGGTGTGCTGTGGGCAGAAATTCAAACCTAGGTTGCTTGTATCGTAGGATGGCAATTTATCATTTTTCCCCTTAAGGAGAAACATGCCCTTTAAAGCAGCTGTCTTTGAAATGTGAACATGTGTAGTCTCACGGAAATCATATGAGGTGTATAGACATGTTTGGTCAGAACCAAAAAAGGCAAAGCATGATTGTATTTTTAAGCCTTAATAATTTTCAGGAATTTAAGACGAAATCTAGTCTAAATGCTTATTCTGTGCTTCTCTTAATACACACGGAGGTCTCTTTACATTAGTCATCCGCTTGCTGTATAAAGAGATGAAGAGACTCCACAGGTTTTCCGGCTGTGTCTGTGTCTTGTAGTTACTTACCAGTGTTGCCTGGATCTGTCAGTCTAACAATCATTATTCTTACAGTGGGTAACATTCCTCTTACTTCCTTAGCCAGATAGAAAGAACACAGGTTACTCTGCATGCTGGAGAGGGCCTCTGGGAAAAGATCAGTTCTCCCAAATAGAAGCATGAGAACAAAAATCACTTTATTTTTTTTTTTAAAGGGCATTTAAAACATTTTAGATTAATACATTTTTTTTGCCTTTGGGAGGACATTAACATGGGATTTGAACCTGTGACTTTTGCATGTTGTTTTTAATAGCTGATAGGGCTGGTAGTACAGGAGTGTCACTGGTCTGCTTTATTCCTGCAGAACGTTGTGAAGCTGATGCGAGGTCTCTTACAGTGCATGATGAGACAGGTATGTATGCATGGTACAGCTCAGCACATACACTGCTGTTAGCCTAAGCCGAACTCTGATCATGCTTGTACCTTTTTAAAATCAGGTTTGCAGCAAATCACAGTGTTGCCTTTGCGAACTGATTTGCTCAAAGGTGCATAGCTGTTACTAAGATCTGAACTCAGCAAGGTAATTTAAGCTTACTCTTTCCCAGAGAGATGTGGATTTAGGCAGAGTCTAAAGTTCATGCACTATGATCAGTCAAAACACGCTGATCTGAGGTAACAAAATTTAGGACCTCAAGTTTCTCCCTATCTAAGACAATGTGTTGTGAAATTGTTTGGAGAGTTTCTTCTGAAGTGTTTCACATTTGAAATCTGTGGTGCTTTTCAGGTAGATAAGGTGGAGAAGTTCAAACGCACACAGAGTACCAGGGACTGCCTGCACGCCAAGTACAACTCTGCTACTTGTGCCACAGTGGTTGGAGATGATCAGTGGGGACATCTGCAAGTCGATGCCACTTCTCTTTACTTGCTCTTCTTGGCACAGATGACTGCATCAGGTAAGCAGAAGATATTTTAGCCTTGACTGTCTTGTTGTTACAGTCTTCATGTTTTACGACTTTCAATTGAAAAGGAGGAAAAAAAATGTCACTAGTGGAAAGAGATGTTTGTTAGTTAGGATTTCACACAGTAACTGCCTAGGAAGTCCATTCTCTTAGAGTTTGTTGGTGTACAAATTCTATTCAGAGCTATTCAAAACCATGTCAAAGAAGAGAGTGTGTCTGATGGACCAGCGGGTTTATTCAGAGTGACTACACCAAGCTGGATGCCTGTCTGTGTTCCTCTTCTTGAGGGCACTGCTTGGCTTTCTGCTCATAGCAACCATGCTCTTCCTCTGTGAGGATAAGTCTCTTCTCCTGGTGGTCTCCTGGCAGAGCATGAAGCAGATGGTGCAGCTGCTGTGGGAGCTGTGCCACCTGGTTCTCAGGAGCTGGATGTGGTTCAGCTCTCCCTGTTCTGTAGCCATGGTGTATGAATGCCATGTTTCCACTGAGGGTGTATTTTTGAAACAGATGATGTGTATTGGTGGCATTTGAAGTAGTTCATGGGCAGCAAATGTTGAGGCTTGTTGCCACTCCCTTTGAAATCAACTTGAGTCTTTCACTGATTTCTGTGGGTAGTAGTTGGTAGTTGGTAACAAATATACAAAAGCTTGACATTTTTTGAAGAGGAAATAGTTCTAATACAGCGTATTTTCTTTCTTCTCTTGTTTTTAGGGTTACGTATCATTTTCACCCTTGATGAAGTTACCTTTATTCAGAATCTTGTTTTTTACATAGAAGCTGCCTACAAAGTTGCTGTAAGTAGTTATTTATGTGTAAGACATCTGAACCCAGCTTAGATGTGGGTTGAAAATTATTTCTTGATGGTGACTGAAAATACAATCCTGTTTTTCCATCAGAGAATGTCAGAATTTGTCATTACATTGTGAGCAACATTTCTGGAGGTGGTGGGACAGCTGTGGGGGAATTTGCTGTTTTTTGGATGAAGTATAGTTGTTCTATCATCACAGTAGTAATTAATAACAATTCCTCATGTCTCATGAGCCTTTCTGAAATGAGCAGAGTGTTATCAAACTCTTTTTTGGAAAGTAATGAGTTGCAGAGGCACAGGGAGAAGCATGCAGTTTGGAGGTCTTTGTGTGTTTTATGGAGAAAGTGATTTATGACTGCAGATGTGATCCTGCTGGGATGTATTTTTATGTTCTGCTTTTTAAACGTGCAGAGGAGCTCTTTGGAAGTCACTTGTTATTTTATTTTTAAGGCTGATAAACAAGTTTCCTATGAGGTTCTGGTTTTGTGGTAGCCTGTGCGTGTGGAGGCGAGGTAGGGAAATGTATATGTAACCATACCAGTTTTTTTCTTAATGTTGTTATTCTTGCAGGATTATGGAATTTGGGAACGTGGTGATAAGACAAACCAAGGCATCCCAGAACTGAACGCAAGCTCCGTAGGGATGGCCAAAGTGAGCATGTCTTTCTGACTCCTCTTTTGTGGCTGTTCCCTCACTTTGAATAGCTCTGGTGAACCCAGCAGCTTCCTTTGCAAAGCCTTCTTGGCAACAGTTAACTAATTGTATTAAGAATTTTTGAGTATTCAACATAAAATCCTTGTGATAATGGTTTACTTTGAAGGACCTTAGTACAGTTGTTCTGGGACTGCAAAATGTGCAGCAGAATCATTGAGGCACGAACGTGGTAGATACAGTGAACAGGATTTTAAAAGGAAAGCTCCTTGCTCTTTCTGGATCCATACCCTATGTGGCACAGCAAACCCCACATCAGCAAAGCCAGGACACTTCCAGGTTGACGTAGGGGTGCACAGAGATGAATGGGTGGGTTGTTAATATCTTCCTAAGGTATATACATATGCATTATAGCTGAGATATAGGAGATGTACTGATTCACCTGTTAAGACAGGCATGATGTGTCTCTACAACCTAATGGCTGGTTGGCCATTAGGCATGCAGAGAGCAGACATCTCATCTCTCTTTCCGTAGGGAAGCGATAATATCAGAAAGAGAGGTAGATGGCAACATGCTCTTCCCTGCACTAGCAGAGGCTGGTTCCCAGAGCATGTTGAGCAAGCCTTCCTCTTTGAATAGCCCTGCAACTAGGAGCCACAAATTGCCACTGAAGTGGAGGGGGGTTATATTGGAACGTGGAACAGGAGAAGCATTTATGGATAAATATTATTTAGGTGTTATTCAGCAGAAGCACTGTTTCCTGTTGCTTTGCGTTAGGTTTTATTTGTAAGAACGATCATCAGCACATCAGTCCTGGATCCTACAAATGGAAATGCAAAAATATTGTTTATTTTTTCAGAAGTATTGACATGCTTCCCATTGAGGTTGGAAACAATATTTGGGGAGCAAACTTCTGTCTTGCCTAATAACCTTCAGAGGAAATGTCAGATGGCTGGGTTGTACTTGGCTTAAAAGATATCTAATGGTATTTTTGTGTGTGGGTGTTGTTTGTTTTGAAGGCTGCTTTGGAAGCAATTGACGAATTAGATCTTTTTGGAGCTCATGGAGGGCATAAATCAGTGATTCATGTTCTTCCCGATGAAGTAGAACATTGTCAGGTAAAAGCAGTCTTCTGTTTCTAGTGCTTGAAGAAAATCCATCTCCTTTTCCATTCTGTTCTTAATTGAAATGCTGATTAACTGAATGGTAAACTTAATAAGGGTGACTTCAGACTGTGCTGTTCATCCTGTTTATAGTAAATCACATGGAGCTGGTTTGAAACATTCCTATGTTAACTCAGTTAAAACAGTTATGCAGTGAATTCTCTCCATTTGCAAATTGTGCATTCTGTTTTGCACGTTACATAGCCTTTTGAACAAAGTAAATTATTTCATATCCCTCTCTTCTGTGTTTTGCTCAGTCTATACTATACTCCATGTTGCCAAGGGCATCCACGTCAAAGGAAATAGATGCTGGCCTTCTCTCCATAATTTCATACCCAGCTTTTGCAGTGGAGGATATAAACCTTGTTAACATAACCAAGAGTGAAATCATATCCAAATTGCAAGTAAGGATTTCCTTTATTTTATTTTGTTTTATTTTTCAGAAGGAAGGAGAAGCAGAACCTTTTTTCTTAATTGAAAATCCTAATTAATCTAGGATTGACAGACTTGGTGGGTCCATGCATGGAACAGAGGGAGGAAAATCCCAAAGTAGCACTGGAAACTCACAACTTAGATGTTGGTATCAGTCTGTCAGGAAAAACAGTATGTTAAGATTTCTGTAATTTTGTCTGTTTTTATAGGGCCGCTACGGCTGCTGTCGCTTTCTCCGAGATGGCTACAAGACACCCAGAGAGGTACTTCTGATGTATATTTTCAGTAGATCTTAGGAAGAATGCTCTCTCTTTTGGGCATTACTTTGGCTTGTTTGCATCAAGGGCAAAATTCAGTATCGCTATTAAGATATTTGGTAGTAAACCAAGTAAATCTTGGGAATGACTCATGTCTGAAGGTGGCTAGTGGTTTAAAGACCATCAGTTATTAATGAGATAAATTAATTCATGATTCTGCAAGGTATTAACCCTTAGACGTGCTTACGGCACCTAAGGAAAAGAATTGCCTTTGAGATGCTCCAGGGTATTATGAAGTAGGGCAGAAGCATGATTATTTGGGTGACACCTAGATTCTGAGTCTGAGAAGGGCTGGTTTGTCTGGAGACCAATTAAAAAAGTTTGGGAATGAATGCAAAAAAAGAAATCAAGAGGCTATGTGGAAACTTTCTGCTGTATTTTTATTGCTTGCTTGGTTTTAATTATTTGTATAAAATAGGCTTTCATTGCATATGGAGTTTGAGTGACTAATTTAGCACTGTGACTAAAAGAACATGATTGAATTTCCAGGATCCAAGCAGATTGCACTATGATCCTGCTGAGCTTAAGCTGTTTGAGAATATTGAATGTGAGTGGCCGGTGTTCTGGACATACTTCTTAATTGATGGAGTATTTAATGAGGACAAAATTCAGGTGAGGAGAGAAGAAACTGCTTAGAATGGAAGTGCAAAGCTGTTAACACCCCATTATAGCTTTTCTCTGTTTATTTTAGTTATCAGTTACCACCTTTAAAAGTCCACATGACCCTTTTTTTTTATTGGCAGAACCCTTTGCTATTTGCATACATATAAATTGTGTATTTGTGTGGATTAATTACGTTTGACAGATAACAGCAGCTGGGTGAGAATGTGGATGGAGCATTTGTTTCCACATGCAAGTTCAGGCTGGAGTGTAACAGGTATTATTATTTGAATGTCTTGCAATGTTGATGCTCTTTTGGCATCAGACAGTACTGGAAATCACTGAGTTCCTGTGAAACTCAGTGGAGTTTCACACAACAGGTTGGAAGCAGTCTCCAACCACTCCGGCCTTACTGGGAGGTTCATGTCATGAGAAAAGCTGCAGTGTTGTCCACGCTGGTACAGGGAAGGGTTCCCTTTCTCTGTCAGATTGAGTGGCTCTGTTGGCTGGAGGGTTTGAGCTGATCTGGACATGGCGTATTTGTCTGGTTCTGTTTTATCACCAACCATAATGTCTCACCAAATTATTGTGAGGTGAGTCTAGCTTCTGTCTTCCCTGATCTCTGTGGCTTGGCTGCTGAGAACAACGTTAATAGTTCTTTCAGTCTTTTGGTACATTTAGGGAGATTTGGGATGGGTTAGACCCTTATCAGGAGCCATTTCATTTTAACTGATTTTGTAGGTTAAATGATGATTCCTTTATGTAATTCATGCCTTTGCTGTGTCGAGCATTGAATGATCAGGGGAGCTAGATTGACTGTAACCTTTCAAAGGTTGTAGTGGTTCCTGGAGAACAGTGGTAAATTAAAAGAGCAACAAGTAATGAGGACTAAATGTATTCAGATCAAGAGCTCTACAGCTTGAAGGAAGTAACAAATACATGTGATTTAAAGTTGCCCAGTATGCAGAGGGACTATGGTTACTAAATAAAACCTCTTAAAAATAAAATGCCATCAGAAACAAAACAAGGAATTTCAGACCAAAAATACCTTTCTATAACAGATGAAAATACAGTGAAGTATTTATTAATGTAAAAAATATGGGTTGCTTTGCTGAACACAGTAGAAATAGTCTGGTGGAGAGAAAAGTAACGTTTCATAAGGAGAAAAATCAGAGTTTACTGAAACTTCAGTCATATTGATAAAACTATTTTTTCAAAAGCAGTCTCTAGAATTTAGTTGGGTGGTCTGGGACAATATGTACCTGATTCCTTTTACGGTGTACATATGGCCCATGGTAGGATGTGCTCAGAAGGGACAATTGGCCCCAGTTCCCACACTTTACACATAGTTGCTCGTGACACTCTGGTGGTGGTCTCTAGTTTTCCACAGTTACTGCTTCATAAGCCTAATTGCAGTAGCAGCAACGGTTTGGAAAACAAGCACCCTGATCACTCAACAAGAGTGGATAAGGATAGGATACTGACAATACTAGTGTACCATGACATGAATGTGTGGGTACTTTAGCTCGTGCATTAGGCTAGAGATTATTCCTCGGAAAGGTATAGGCAGGAATAGAATTTCAGAGCCAAGTGCTAGTAGTGCTAGGAAACAGCTTCCCTGTGAGTTTAAATTTAGAATGGGAGTGTGAAGAAATGGGCAAAATAAGAAATCTGATTTAAAGAAAAAGAAACGGAAATTGTTGAATTTTAGACCATTTACATGTCCTAGTGATTACTGTAGCTAACTCTACAATGGTTGTCTTACTCTGCTTTTCTCAGAGTCCTACCAGGACAGAATTGCTCAGGTATAGGAGTTGTCTGCCCAGAGAGGTGGTGGAGTCACTGTCTTTGGAGGTGTTCAAAAACTGTGTACATGTGGCACTGAGAGACACAGTGGGTGCGGAGGGGATGGGTTGGTGGTTTTACAACCTTACCTACAACCTTGGTCTTTTACAACCTTAATCATTCTACAGTTCTAGAATAATATGTTGTCTAGCGATACGAGAACAAGAGGATTTTATGTTCGTTTAACTTAGGTATTTTATTTGCTTTACATCTTTTTAAAGCTTTCCTTAGGGCAAATTTTTAAGAGAAACTGAATTCCCAGTTCTGCAAAGTTGGATTCAGAATATCATACACGAATGTGCTTGGTAGAAAACTAACAATTCTTAAATCATACACTTCTAATGGATATTGTTAGTGCTGACATATTCTGTGTCACTTCATTTTCATGATCAAATTTTATGCAGGATTTCTAGTGACTTCTTGATTGCAATATTTTTTTATGCTTTGGTTTGTTTCTGATTAAAGATGTGTGCTTATGCTTTGGAGAATGATAATACTGAGATCTTGGAACAGTGTTTGACAATTTGAAGCCTCTTCTTCCATCAGCAAGCTGTGATCCACTTTCCCCCCTCCCCCTTATTGTTTACTTTTTATGAATTTTCAACACAGAAGTAGTAAAATTATAACTTTATTGTTTCTGTTTTGCTGAGTGTATTGTCAATTTTCTTTTATAAATATCTCCAGGTAGAAGAGTACAGAGAGGCTTTGGAAGGAATACTCATCAGAGAAAAGAATGGAATAGTTCTAATGCCTGAACTATATGCAGTCCCTTCAGAAAAGGTATTGTGAAAATGCAGCATCCCCTTCAGTATGTGAAGTATAGATATGAAGATCAGTGTACCACTTTCCTATAGCTCATAAATCTAAGTCAGTTATACAAAAAAAAAAGCAATTCACAGCACATTATTAATTACTGATAAACCACTCACGAAAATTGGTAACTTTAGGCTTCTAAATGATCAAATCCTGGAGATAGAAATCCAAGAGTCTATGGAAGTTCTGGAGCAGGTTTAAAATTACTAAGACTTTATAATAAGGTATATTTAAGAAGTTTTGCTGAAATTTAGAAATTGAATTTCAGAGAAGAAGTAAAACATAGGCTGTTCTGCCTGTTTATTCTACCAGTGGTTTGTGCTCGCTCTTTTTCAGAGCTTGTATTTAAGATGGAACAGGTTTCAAATGAATGGGGATTTATGTTAGATCTTACGCGTGTTTTTTTTCTGTTGTTTTTTGTTTGTTTTGTTTGTTTTTCCCATTTTTTCTGTCACTGTTTAACCCATTTCTCTCATCGTGACAGAGAAATTCAGATAACATTATATCTCCTTCCATGCTACCTGCTTTTATATCTCTCCCTGCTGACTTCTCCCACTCCAGATTTCTCAGCAACCAATGGGGGTGTGGAGCCTTCTGGACTGATCTGAGTTTAGGGGGGGAGTATCAAAAGCTGATGTCTTTCTCACAGGTCTGAGACTGAAGCTCTGAGTTACCTTTCTGTTGGGAGCAAGTGTGTAACAGTACAGAGCCTTTTTGTTAATTCTGATACATTTATGATTGGAAGAATATGCCAAATAAATAGTGTAAATTTTGCCTTTCATTTGTAAATTCTAAAATGGCTGTGATAAAGATGTTATCTAGAGGGTTGTATGCTCCTCCCTCAATAGATCTGTATACTGCAAGATCAAGTCAGGGGTTTTGGTTTTCTGTTTGGCAAAATTAAGAGATTCTACTCCTTATTTTTCCACAGACCATTCTTGCTAAAGTAAGAACAGTAGAATAGGCTTTGTTTTTGGAAAGCACTTCCATGAGCGTCTTCAGAAAGCTAGATAGGCAGCAGTGAAGTTCAAGAATCATCTTGCAAGGAGCTGGAAAGCTGACACAATTCCCTACAAGCTTCCCAAAGGGAAGGCAGCAAAGGAATGACGAGAAGAAAGGGGAGCTCCTGACACCAAAGCTATACTTGTGTGCAGAATCCTCATTCAACCTCCAGCTTCAATAGTTTGAGTGGTGTATGAAAAGGAAGCATGGTTCTTGTCCCAGGTAGCGTGCAGCCTCAGAAGTGAAATCAGTAGAAAGGGAGGTCAATAATAGCGGGTTAGAAATGGTAGATGATAGACTGTATTTTTACAAATACTTCTGTGTTATTGGTTGTTCTTCAGAACTTTGAGATAAGTTTCTTGTTTTTTGTGTTTTTGTTGTCAGGTTGATGAGGAGTATGAAAATCCTCACTCAGTGGATCGTATCCCAGTGGGAAAGCTGCCTCATCTTTGGGGTCAGTCATTGTACATCCTTAGCTGCTTATTAGCAGAGGTAATTATTTCTTGTATAGCAGATGAGTTTGTGTTTCATTTTGTTTTGAGTAGGCTTAGCCTTTAAGCACAATTTGATTGTCAGGTAGGGGTCAGTGTGTTTTCCAATGAAAACTGTGGAGGGGTGACTCTGAGCTTTCAGGAGCTTATTTGTGTTATTATGGATAACATACCATCTGTATATTATGCTAAATTGTGTGTTTCTCATCAAGGTCAGTAAGTTGCCAGATATGCTCAAGAAATACAAAAGTCCATACTGACTTGACAGTTCCAGAGCTAGGATTCTGCAATTTCAGCTGCACTTGATTGCACATTTTTCTGCAGCGTAAGATGCCTACAGAATTGTCCAGTGTGAGCTATGGACTTGGAAGTGAATAACTGAGTATCCCTGAGGAACTGCAGAAAAATCACTGGCATGGTAGCATTGCAATTCTTGCTACAACTCTACAGTGGAAAATATGGATATGCAGATTGCATCAGTCATAATCATTTTCTTGTTGTTCCAAAAAATATTACAGCCACTACAACGTAGTTTTCATTGAATGTACTTAGTGGATGGGATGGGGAAACCAGACTTTAATCTGGATTTCCTGATAAAATGTGAAAAGCGGTTAAGAAATCTTCTAGAAATCTTCATCAAAAGCCTTTTACTTCATTTTTGTTTGTCTCCTTTCTCTCTCTCTCTCTTTAGGGATTTCTGGCTGCAGGTGAAATTGATCCCTTAAACAGAAGATTTTCCACTGGATTTAAACCTGATGTGGTGGTACAAGGTTAGGGAGTTTTAACATTGTGAATAAACTAGATTATGTGAAGGTGAAGTTCCTATTCAAGAGAATTAAGAAGGATGTGTTTTAAAATGATACTGATCTTTGCATGGCACATGGATGCTTTGTTGATACTGTGAGAAAGTGGTTGTTTGTCAAGCTGCTTTTCTTCTAGGAGGAAAGATCAGCTTTAACAAATGTTTTAAAAAAACACTCATTATGATTTTAAGACTGGTCAGAGACTGGAAAGGACTTACTGAAAAGGAAGGTTGTGATGGGTAATAGCAGAAAGAGGAGGGCTGACAGGAAACCATTCAGTTCAGTTAGGATGTTGTGCAGCCTCTTTTCAGAGGACCCAAGAAAGCAAGGGGTGGGGCAGATCTCTGTGTTCACAGAGGTGAGGAGTGAGCTAAAGAGCAGAGGGCAGCCAGACTTACACCTGTTTTTGTCTGCGTCAGGGTGCATCTGCTGCTTTCGTCAATGCAGGAGCAGCCAAAACTACATACTTAAGTTGAGGGCAAACACCAACTAATTGGGCATAAAAGCTTTCCTAGCGCCTGTGTCATTCTGGAAAAGTAATCAGCTCATTTAGCAGGAGGATCCTTCAGTGGTATTGCAAGCTGAGCAAAAGCTTGTTTATCTTTTGTTGTTGTCATAGTGGTGACATTTTGCTACTCTAAAATGCGTAATTTCCCTTAGATGCATAAATGCATGCTTATTTTTAGCATTCTTTGACTGCTATTTATAATGCAGAGAGTATGAATTGTCAGTCCCAAACCAATAAGCCATCTCACAAGGGCAAAAAAAGTGTAAAATCAGGCCTTGGATTGTAAATTCCTCCAATCTGGCAATCTGGGGACTTTTTTTTTTCCTACCTCTTTCATTGTACGGCCTTTGGAACATTTATTGTCATAATCCTAACATACTTGTTCACCATTGACCTAGCTGTAACCATTGATGTGCTGTATTAAAACAAAGATTTTCAAGTAGGATTTCAAGTAGCAAGACCCATCTCCTGAAAGTGACTGCACAATCCAAACTGTGAAATTGAAGAGAAATGATATCTAACCTCTGAACTAGCACTGCTTTGAGCAGGAGGTTGGATTAGAGACCCTGTGAGATCCCTTCCAACTTGAGCTACCATACAATCCGGAATGGAACAGAATGACAATATGTATGGGGAAGTAGAGAGCCAAAAGCTCTCTGAGGTCCTGTTAGATCTCATGAAGACATAAATTAAGAAAGAAGTAAAACCCTTGTGCATTTTTAGACAACTACACGATAGCTGGGAGGTGACAGTAAAGGCAGGCAATTACAAAGAATAACCTTGGCTCTTACAAGTGTTTCTGATTTCTGTTATGCAGTAACTGTTCTGGCAGAAACTAATCAAATTAAGAATCTTTTGCAAGACCATGGAATCAATGTTCAGAGCATTGCTGATATCCATCCACTCAGAGTGCAGCCAGCTCGCATCCTAAGTAATCTCTACACCATGCTAGGTAGGTATTTAAATATCTATTGCCATGCTGGGTATTTTTATATTTCTTGCACGCTGCCGCAATTTCTTTGATTTAAAAACAAACAAACCAAGACGAAATAAAACCCCGCATTTGTGTGAAGAAGGTTAACAAAATTAGAACAACGGTCTTAAAAACTGAGATCTTATTCTTCCAAAAAGAAAAATCATTAGGCTATCAGGTTCTTGCTGTTGTTTCTTCCAACCCTGAGCCAAATGGAGCTCACAGAAGCTCTCTGTCTGCAAATCCAGAAACCTTTAAGGCTTTTATAGCCCCAGGACTTTATATAAAGTTCCAGTTTCTCAGCAGTGACCCTAGAGGCCTGTGGTCCCTCTGAGCCTGCCAATTTGATTAACTAAATGCACAAAACCTCAAACTTGTTCTAGTTAAGTTGAAAATCTGATAAACCTTCAGCCACCACTGGCTCTTCTGGTAATACTTGTTGGAATGAAAGGGGTCTTGGTGAAAATTTGTTGCCTGTATTCCTAATTGAACTTACTTTTACAACTTCAAGCAGGCCAAAAAGTCATGACTCAAATCTGTTGCTGTTACTGGAAAGTAAAACTGGGATGGAGTGGATCAGCATTGGTAGATTCCTTTGCAGTATGGACAAGGAAAGCTGGCTGTATCGTGCTTCTCTGTCAGTCTTGAGCATGTTTCTGTGGTCATGTAGTTTATGGATAACATGGAAGAAGATAGCTTACGCTTTTGTTTGTTTCTCAATATTATGTGGTTTTTGTTTTTTTAACAGAAAGTAAGAGGGCCTTCAAGTAAGTGTTAGACATTGAGCCTTTATGTGAAGAAGGGAGCTTGCATATACTGTTTTACGAAAGTAATTTGTTTTCTTATTACAAGGAACTTCTAACAAGTTTAACATTTACAGGGCTTTGCTGATGTTTGCAGTTATTCTGTAGAAGTTTGAAATAGCTTTCTTTCACTAGTGGGGGGTGAGTAGGATAACTTGACACAGAGATGTACTGTTTTCAACAGTGACTTCTTTAGTAATGTTCACAAGGATTTCTTTTCAGGCATGTAGTTGCCAGGCTTGTGTTCCTTGTCAGATGGATTCAGGTCAGCTCCTGGATGTTGGAGCAAAAGCTGCAATGCAGAGCACTAGCTTATAAGCCACAGTGAGAAGAGTGGGGCTTATTAGCTCCAGGAAAGGAATCAAAATTTGTTCTTCAGCCTTTTACAGTTAAGAATTTTAAGGTTCTGTAATGAAAGCACTGCAGTTTGTTACTTGTTGATGGTCTGCTTTTTGAAGACATACTTGTAGTTTTTGGTGGTAAAGCTTTGGGTGCTGAGCAATGATTGTGATCAGAATACTTAATTCCATGGTCAGTGAAGCCAAACTTTTAATCAAGCTTTTGAAGTACCCTGACTACTGTATTGATGGTTGCTACAAAACATACCACTCTGTAGCATCTCACTCTTATCTGTCTATTGCCTTGCTGCAACAAATGAAATAGGTCTCCATGTCTAAGATGGCTGTTGCAGAAAACCAGAGAGGAAGTGTTAGATGATATTTTTTTCCTCTTGTCAGGTCGGAATGAGAACATGAAATTAAGTGGACGGCCACACCGACACATTGGAGTGCTGGGTACCTCCAAGCTGTACGTGATAAGAAACCAAATATTTGCTTTTACCCCTCAGGTGAGCATCTAAATCTGGCAGGGAAATCCCTGTATATTTAATGGCTAATCATTAGGGAAGTACTTTGCTTTCATGTGCTATCATTCCATTTTAGATAGAGCAGGGCTGATCAAGCAGATGTACTTTGCTTTGTGTTTTTATTTTTTTAAGAGCTTTGGATGATCAGAGTATTAAGAGTACTGATAAATCTTTCTTCCATCATACAGCATCTAGGTTCTTTGGCTTTTGGCTTAGATTTGTTACTGATCCCTGCTGGAACCAACATTCTAATGAAATAATTCCAAAATAGGTCACTTAACATTTTCTTTCTACTGATTTCTTAGATGGAACGTGTACATTCACTTAAGTATGCACAAGTACTATAATCACACAAGTACTATAATCCCCAAGACACTAAGACATAATCTTTCCCTTGTTGAAAGGGTCACTGATGTTGAGTAAAGGACATTCTTTGTTTTCTGCTTAGTGTGCTTTTTATTGTAGCTGGAAGTTTGGATCCTCCCAGAATTAGTGGCTCTTTTCATACATATAATGAAGTACTACACACTTCTTGTAGCCTTATTGTAGTAGTTGTTACTAGAAGGCCAGTGGGTCATCTACTCCATCCATGTGCAACTGGAACAGGATAAAGAATGCTCACAGCCTGCTGACCTCATGTTTGATTAATATAGTCTTCAAATTCCAGCGAAAGAGATTCAGTGGGCTCAACTGACATGGCTTCTGCAGTGCTGCATAATGTCCAGATTTAATCATATTTTTTCTGCAAGTAATGTTCCTTCTTGTTCTTCCTCCAGTCAATTGACTGGATATTGGCTTTGTAAGATATTTTGTATGCAGGAGGATTGCCTGTTGTGTTGTGTTGTTCCACCACACCAGTATCCATTTTTACAAATTAGGGAAAAGTTTCTCAGAGATGTTATTTAAAAACAAAACCAAAATAAAACATATCTTTATCTAGATCTTGTTATAAATATATTCAAAAATGGCATTTATCTTCAAATCAGGGACATGCTTATTCCATACTAGACTAAAACCTCCATAAAGTCTTCTGTTGTCCTTTTCAGTCAGACATTACATCCTCCCCCGTTTTCTCTTTTTGATGGAATGGAGTTGATGTTTAATTTCACTTTCCTTAGGTTAGTAATTAACTCATCTTTGTTGAAGTTGAGTAATGTCCACAGATTCTCTGGTTTTGTAATTTGTACTTCATCCAATTCTGTAATGAAAATATGAGTTAGGAACGGGGCAGAGGCCCCTCTGAGCCTGAGAAAATGGTTAATAACTACCAGTGGAGAGCAGCTTTGGAAGCAGTTCAGCCTTTTTGGATGCTTTTCTTCATTCTTCATCCTACTAGTGTGACAAGCTTTGCAGAAGTCAGGATATGTCTGCCAATTCCTTCTGCGTGCTGTCTTGTTGCTCTTAAAGAGTGAAGTTAGACTGGTTTGCTGAGTTTGGTTTTGATCTGACTATCTGGTCAACTTGCTTTATCATTTGCAATTCTCTTGGTAATGGGCTTGTCGGGTCTACGTTACTGTGGCCTTCCTTTCTAAACACAGACAGTATATTTACTTCTCTTTGGTTGTCTAGACTGGTTCTTTCTGAGTTCTTAAACCTAACTACCAGTGGTTCAGGAATCATTTTGGCTGCTTCCTTAAGTTGTTCTAATTAGTTTCTTTATACTTCACCAGCTTGAATTTACATGGTATTTAACATTTTCCTCCCAACCCAGGCTGAACTCCTGTCACTGTTTTAAAAGCAGTATTACAGATCATAATTTACTACTTTCCATCTCATTAAAGTGGGACACTGATTCAGCTTATCTGTGTCCTCTCTTCCTATCCTCTTCCTCTCTTCGTTGAAAGATCTACAGGTTTTGTGTTTTCCAGTTACTTCTGATGTGTTGACAGGGTGTTTTCTCCTTGTCTTACCAATCGATGTTTATTTTACATTCCAGCCTTTTCACTCTTCCACCCCTCACTAATGCTTCTGTGCTTTTAACATTCATTGTGGCTGATTTGTCATACTTTTCATTGTTTTTCCAGCTTTTTAAAATTTCCATTTCTGATGATATAGCCATAATAGTCTCTTGTTGTGGTTTTTGGCCTTCCTTTGTAGTGAGAATGCCACCATTTACCACTGTACATAGAATGCATCTTTTTTTTCCCCTACCATCTGTCAGATGTTCCTTTTCTGCTTGTCTTTCAGAGTGTTTCTAAGAGACATCCACTTGTTAATTCCTGGTCCTTAGCATGCACTTAAGCCTGTTTATTGTTTGTATTGTTGCTGTTGGTTTTTCTTTCCACATTTAGGCTACTTTAGTCTTTCAGATAATAGACTGCTGTAATTCATCACTGAGAAAATTCTCCCTCATGGGAATTATCATCTACGTTCTGTTTGTACAGCTTGATTTTTTTTTTTCACTGTAAGCCTATAAATGTAAGAAAATACACTCTCTGCAGACACATGAATCTCTTTTTTTCCTAGTGATATGCCTGGTTAGGTTAACTCACATAATCTGTGTCTAGAATAGTTCATGTGGCTTTTGTGAATGACTTAACAGAGGACATGGAAAAAATTATAGAGAGTACTGACAACCACTTATATGCTGTATTTCTCTATTCTCTAGTTTACTGACCAGCATCACTTCTATCTGGCTCTAGACAATCAGATGATTGTGGAGATGCTCAAGATAGAACTGGCTTACCTCACTTCTTGTTGGAGGATGACAGGGAGACCAACTCTGACGTTTCCCATCACCCACACGATGCTTGGTAAAGTTGATTTTCTCTATTTCAAGTGCAGTAAATTGTTGTGGAGGAGTAGGATGTGGGTAGGTTTGAGAGGAGACAGATGGTGTGACTGTTTTAACATCTGAGTTTTAACATCAAAAGTGCAATTTAACTTTTTCAAGTCTACTGAACTTTGATGACAGGGAATCCTTCATTTTGTCTTACTCCTCCTTAATATCCCTGCATCTTTTCATCATCTGCATACTGATTCTGTCCAAATAAATTTGGTAGTAGTCCTTTTGGAACTTGTCATGAGTGGAAGGGCTTGGAGTTGATTTGATTTTGTTCCAAGGTTTTTGGAATAAACTAGTATTGATAACATTTGCAGGGTCTGTTTTAAATTTGGTGTTTGAAGAGATTATTATTTATTATATATCTATGTGTTGGTAAGATTCAAACTCTTCCATTGTTCTTTTTCAGTTGATGATGGTACTGACATTCATCCAGCAGTTCTTGCCACCATACGAAAATTAGAGGATGGTTATTTCGGTGGTGCAAGGTAATGCTGTAACCCTTAAATGGTTCTGTGATTTTTTATAATTAAATCATACACAAAGTCACAACTACATTTTAACTTGTGATAGTGATAGATCTTGTGCTGGAGCTCTACAGAGAGAGCAGATTCAGCTTAAATTGTTATGTGGCAATCAGATGATAGCCAGACCTTAGGTGCAATGGGAAGATGGGGAGAGTTAACACCTTTGACTGCCATTAATAGATGGTGAAAACGCAAAGGCAGTTAATGTCTTTTTTTTTTTTTTTTTTTTTTTTTTTGCCTCAGTTTTCAGTATTAATTGAAGGCCTTAAGTTGTCCTGCCCTGCAAGTTGGAGGACCATCATTTGGGGAGCAGAGATTTTCCATTTGTTGACATCAAAGTTTAAGGAACTAATTGTATGAGTTGAATGTTTACAAGTCTATAGGGCCCGGTGGGACTCATGTCTCAGTACTGAGGGAATTCGTAGATATTATAGCAGGACCCCTCTCAATTCTCTATCAAAGTTCATGGGAATCTGGGGAGGTCCCTGGTGACTGGAAACTGACCAAGATTGTGTACATTTGTAAGAAGACAGAAGACCATGGAAATGATAGACCTGTTAGTTTAACTTCAGTACCTGGAAAAAATTACGGAGAAGATTAGCCTAGGTGCCAATGAAAAGCAGTTAAAGGATAGCAACAGCCATCAGACCTGCTATCATTGATTGAGGAGGAAAGTCCTGTCTCGCTAATTTGATATCCTTCTATGGTAAGATGAAGTGCTATCCATGCTAGTGGATGAAGGGAAGACAGTGGGTATTGTTTTTATGGATTTTAGCACGATGTCTAATACTGTTCCTCTCAGTATCCTTTAACTATAAGATGAACAGGTTCACACTGTGCTGGGTGATACACTGGCTGAGTGGCAGAGCTCAAAGGGCTGTAGTGAATAAGGCTGCATCTGGATGGTGGCCAGCCTCTAATACTGTTCCTCACGGCTCTAGTGTATGGACAGTCCTGACAACATTTTTACTGGAGATATGGATGCAGGAGTTGGATGTACCCATAGCAGATTTGCTGATAATACATATCTGGGAGATTCTTTTGACTCTCTGGGGGCATCTAAATGCTCTATTCGATGCTCTGATCTATCTAGACTCTCTCTGAGAGGTTTAGATAGATTAGAGCATTGGGTGATCAACAGCAGTTTGAAATTTAATGTGAAGAAAATGATTCTACTGTTGAGACAGAGTAATGCCAGATAGTTCCAGACTGGGAGCTGAGTGTTGGGAGAGCATTCCTGTGGAGAGGAATCAGAGGGTGTTGTGAGTGTTACCATAACACAGTTAAGTGCAGTTACTAGATAGAGCAGTACTCAGCAGGATCTGCAACTATTTTTTTTTGCATTTATTTTCTCCACATTGGTTATTTACTTCTTCATAGTTACTAAAGGTAGATTTGACTGCTGGATCTCATAGGTTTTGGAGCTGTTGAAAGCTCAGTGAGCATAGCCAATAGTATCAAAATGGTGTATGTTGGCTCTGGCATACTTATATGCCATACTCCCTCTGGCGTACTTTCCTGTTTGCAGGGTGAAGATAGGCAAGCTGTCAGAATTTCTTACCACATCTTTTCATACGCATCTGAGCTTCCTGGATCCAGACTGTGATATAAAACTATTTGATGACTCTCATGGAGGCTGTTGTAGCCCTGACAGTGAATATGGAGGCTATCCAGCAGATTTCTGTGAAAAAGGTAATAGTTTTTTCACTTTATTTTTTTTTTCTCTGTCACATTCTGTAGAGTAGACATAGAGTCTATCCAAGCATAGAGTCTGGGGTTACCTACAGAACAAAATCTGATGTATGCACAGTTGATAGTTATTCAGATCTCTCATACGTCAGTTCAAGGATGGTATGTGCATGACTTAGTTTGAAGGAGATTTTGTGAATTCATCCTACATCCTCAATGTGGCATTGACCAGTAACTGCTGTGGTAAAGCTGAGTCTGAGAGTCAGCAGGTGGGAGGTGTGTAGAAGATGCTAGAGGGAGTAGAGAGTGTGAGGAGTCACAGACAAATTCATGCACAAGAGCTGATCTTTGGTCTACCAAAAAGAAAAATTCTTTTGATCTCTTTCTAAGGGAAAAACAGTTTCTAAACTTTACTGTTTAAAAACTATCAAAAATTATTTACATTTTTCTTTCCAATTTGTTCAGCTTAGAAGTCTCTTGCTTATTCTTACGTTTTCATGTCCTCTTCTGTATAAACAAGAATAGAGTGATATGTGTGAAAAAAGAAAGTACTGTTATTTTAACAGTTTTCTTACATTTAATACTCCTTTTATGTATGTCTCACTAGAAAGCCAGGATGAGCTGGATCAGTATATAAATGATATCCTGCAGAGTACAGCACTGAAGTCATATCTGCCTCCAACTTCAAAGACTGCTCATCAGCCACTTGTGTTCAGTGCAAACCATTCCACACAAGAGATACTGTCAATAATGGCCAAGGCAAAGGGTTTGGAGATTCCAGGTACTTCTCTCTATTATTTGCCATGGGTGCTAAGATGGATAAGTTCAATTATTTTCAAATTCTATTATTTGAAGGAAGTTAGTAACACAAATGTGTTGTAGCTGTTAAGAAGAGAGTCTGAAGTTGTTGCTGTAGTTCCCACAGCATCCCATATCTTGATATAAATAATCTGCAGTGCATCAAAGTTACTGTTATGGAAACTAACTGATCAGATAGAATTTTAGAACATGAGTTAGTTCATTATTATTATTATTATTATTATTATTATTTGTACAAAGACAGACAAATAATATACTTTCTTAATCCAATGAAGTTGTGGTGAAATTAAGTGTTTCAATGACATGAAACATCAGTATGCACATGTATACTCTAAATCTATAAGAATAAATGGAGTACCAATGGAAGGCAGTATTCCTAATAATGCTGCATTAAACTGATTGGAGGACTTCCACCCAAATAATGCTTTGACTGAATTTCTAAGTAGATTCCGACATCTACAGTGTTTTTCATGTAGATATGTAGTATCCAGTATCCTGGTTAAGAGAGGGCTTCTCTCAACTTCACTGGACATTAATAAATCTTAAAAATTTAGTATTTTCTCCTATCTTTCATATGCTGCAGAATCATGTGATCCTCTGTTAAATTTGTCATATAAAGATAGCAGAGCATGAGCCTGCATTCACATTTGTCACTTCAATTGCAGCATTTTTTCAATTAGACCATTTTGTCCATATGTTAAACGTATTTTAGCATGTTTACTGCAAAAACATTTGAAATACTTGTCAGGATCAGGTCATTCATTTGTAGAACATCCGAAGCACAGACTGCCATAAGAGGTGTCAGTTCACCATGTTGTGCCTCAGACTTTGATGTGCTACTTTCAGAAGCTCTTGGACCAGGTCTGCAGGAAGGAAAAATTTCAAGTGTGAGCTTGTCTCTTGAGTTCCACACACAGCATCTTGCAAATGTTGCCTAAGTTAACTTGACTCTCAGAGGTATTTCTGTTGTTTTTTGTAGTACAGTTGCTTCATATTTGTGGTTTTGCTTTTCTGCACAACAGCAACAAAAGTCTTTTAAGTGTTGTCATTGGCTTTGATTTCCAGCTGTTTCCATGTCTCTTCCAACTAAAGTTCTGAACACGCACCGGAAGTCCTTGAATCTTGTTGATATTCCCCTTTCCCTTGAGAAAAAGGTAAACCGTGGGATTTTTTATGCTGTTTATGTTTTTAGGACTCAATATTTTGAATCCATCTGGTTTCCAGCCTAACCGTACACTAGTTCTCATTTTGTTACCTTGACAGCAAAGCTGTCTGCCTGGGGCAATGGGTAGGGGGTGGTTGTTATTTTTTGCTGGGAAGTTTTTTTTTGTTAAATAGATATTATCACATTGATATATATATATATATATATATTGTCTAATAAACAGTACTTGTATTGATTTCTAGCCAGGAGAGTAGCATATGAAAGGACAGCTGTCATACAGCACCAGCTGAATCCCACTACTAAGCACAAAGGGCTAAGGCTGGGCTGGGTATTCTGTCCTAGTGTGTGTGACTGGCTGCTGAGGGTGGTGACATGAGGTTGTATCCAACCTGCTAGAAGATTCTGTTATATAGGCTTTGTCTGTGGAGGCAGTATTTCAGGACCATACAAATGACTGAATAGCTTGTTAAATAAAACTTGTTCTCATCTAAGAATTCACTGCAGTGTTGCAACACCTGACTAGTTAACGTGCTAGTTCCAAAGCATTGGAAAATTTGTGATGGCAACATCTGCATAAGTAAAGCACTGCAATTATTCAGATTGGAGACAAGACTAAAAGAACAAAAAAACCCACCTCTAAATGTTTTCAGCAAAAAAGTGGTATCTTTCTGCTTTATTTCATTGCAAGTAGCAGTGTATGACAGGAAAAGTGTGCAAATAATTTTGTTTACTTCTATGAGAATTTTTTTTTTTTTGTCCCAAAAATAGCTTTCCTGGTCAATTGAACCAAATCTAGAGACAGTCCATTCTGGGTGCTGTGTTTCTGGGGATCATACTTCTTTTCATGTCTGCCAGTAGTCTGAAAAAAAAACCTGCATGATATGCCTGTATTTCAAGCGCAGAGTTGTGTTGCATGTCTGTGTTCTTTAATGGCGAGCTACAAATTTTATCTGCTGCTTTTGTCAAGGTCTGTTATTGATTTTCATCCCTCTTTGTTATCAGGACCATGAAAAGGTTTTGAACTTAGCTAAAGATGCTCATGGTGATTTGGATTGCAGGAAGCTTGTTGAGCAGCTGAAGGAATGCCCAACGCTCCATGATCAAGCAGATATCTTATATATCTTGCATATACTAAAGTGAGTTATCTGAGTATAGGCTTCAGCCCCTTAAGTTTGGCTACAGCTATTTGATTATTGTTGTGCAAAAGGTTGTCACTTTTCAGGACTGTGTTTTCAGGGGAGAGGTTAAAATGTTTTGCGCTTTAACAGAAACATTTTCAGTCAGCTTGACTACATAAATAATTTGCATTCAGAATACATCTGTGCAAATTTCAAAGTTGATTGACACACAATTTTGCCAAAATGGGAGTGGAGGGATACTTAATTTTCTCATTTTCTAACTAAAGCACAGATGCAGTTTTTTTTTTCTTCTAATCCTTCCATGCTTAAGTGCATAGTTGACTAAAACTTGGTGTTCTTCAAAATGTTTCTAGAAACAAACAAAAAAAATTGCTCATTAAATGGGTTTGAGCAAAATTCAAATACAGATCAACAGAATTATCTACTAAAGTGTGCTAACTGGCATTTTTTCCTTATACTGTTGGAATCTGGTAAAAAGTTGGTTTAGGTTGCAGAGACGTGCATTTATTGATCACAGATGGTCTTCCTTAATGCTGCAGAGATTGTGTTAATGTTTATCTTAGTCTTTCTCCTGTGTGGGCCTTTTCTTTGGTTTTTTTATTTTCCTAAGCAAAATAGTAGCTCTCTTAAAAAGGAGATCCTGAAAAATTACTTTTTGTTTGTTTGACTGTATGTAACACCCTTAGTTTACTTTCTGGAACTGTTTTACCACTGGTGTCCCTGTTGGGCTTTGGTGAAATGCGTCCCTCTAACTGGAGCTGAAAGATCATCATGTGGTGCATGGAGCCACTGTCAACTAGAGGCACCTTTTGTTCATAATACAGCAAATTTCAAAACTGGAAAAGGAATGGAAAACTTCACTGATTCATCAATATTGACAGAAGCAGTGTGGAAGTCTAGTTAGTAGCTAAGAATAAGGCAGGGAGAAATACTCACAGAGGCCCTGTAGTATCTGAAAAAATGGCTATCATCTTTATTAGTACTAAAAAAAAGTGCTGAATTTCACTCCTAAGGAGCAACATATGGAGTGTTCTTCCATTCTTTCAATCTTCCTTGTGCTGAACTTAAAGCCAAATGGGAAATCCCCTGGCTGGTTGCTTTGTAGTCACAGGCTTATGGCCAAGTGAGATAATATGAGAGTTGCTGTTACCAAGAGGTTTCTGCCCATGTGTAGCTGATCTCTGATGAAGGACTGCCGTGTCCCATTCACGTCACCCAAACGGCTGTCACACAAATGAGAATTCAGTCAAAGTCTGGTTGCTTGTTGTGTGTTAAGACTAAGCAACTAAGTGTTTTCTGCTTTCTCTTTCTATGTCTTCCTCACGGACCCTTTACTTGTTTGATCTAATGGAAATAATCTTCTATTTTCCTGCAGAGGCCCTGATTGGGATACACTGCTGAATGGACAATGTGGAGTCACTGTTCACTGTCTGCTCAATGAGCTCTACAGAAAGGCAGGCCTCAATCAAGAGTGGGGCTTAATCCGTTATATTTCTGGTATACTTAAAAAGAGACTGGAAGTCCTGGCAGAGGTATGAGATAGGAATAGTGCTGGTTCAGATTCCTGCCTGAAAACAGGACTACCAATGTGAGGCACAAGTGCCAGTGAGGGTTGTGCTTGCCCTTTTCTGGTCTTGCTTCACAACAAACCTAGTGCAGCATTTGTCAGTAAACACTGTTTGCTTTCCTGATCTAAAATCTTGTTACAACCTCTCTCATCTATACTGAAAAGTGTGCTAAGGCTAGAGTGTAATGAGAATGTCAGTCTGTGATTGCGAAGGCCTCATTTAATCTCTGTTAATCCGAGCAGCTTAATTATGTGCGTTGAAAGCTGTAGTGGTCGCTGGTAATTGCTTTATTGCTATTGTGGTAACATGAACACTTGGAGCTCCAGTATATCTTAGTGCTAGAAATGATGCAAAAACATGCTGCAGTGATTTCTGTATTTCTGCCATTAGGCATGCAGTCTGTAGTGTGAGTGGCAGTGCAGAGGCATTATGATATCTGGCCCTGCTTAACATTAACAAGAAAGATCCGTTATAAGGGTACAGATTTCCTTTGGAACATTACAAAACTGTTCACTCTGCTGTTTTAAGGGTTTTTTTTAAAAATACTTAATCCTGCATATTTCCAAAGAACTCTTTCTCTAACTTCTGGCCATTTTCAAAGCTTCAATAATCGTACTTAGAATGGCCTGTTTTACTGACAGTTGTATTTGCAGGGAGCAATTTGCAACAGTCACTCTGCGTGATTCCTCGTTAAGTACCTTTTCCATCCCCAAGGCAGTACATGCTTACAAAAACCTGTGTACATTAAATTGCAGATATTGACTAAGAACTGTAGAGGGTGAGAGTAGAGGTATATGTAGCTTTGTTATACGTTAAAGGAAGGAAAACAGAATCAGAAAAATATAAAGAACACTACTCAGTGAGGTCTTTGATTCAGAATAATGAATTGGGTAATCGCTTTTGTAGGAAGTATAGAAGAGTAAAATGCTGGTACTAGAGGAATTCTGGTATACAGGGTTATGTTTTTCTTTGCTAATACTGCCAAACTTTCCATTAATAATTTTTTTGTCTTCAATAAAAATGAAATATTTATCTGCTGCTGATTTCAGTGTGAGGAAGCAGGCTTTCAGCCTGGGTAGACTCCTGAGGTCCTGTTAACCTTGGGGGATATTTGCCAACTGGTTAACAGCATTCTGCTGGATCTGCATATCTAGTAGTTAATTGAAATGCACTTAGAAATTGATAAATAAATGCTTCCTTTTCTGGAGTTAAAAGCTGTGTCACTTTTGCATGTCTCAGAGAAAGATCTCTTGCTTTCTGTTGTATTGCAATAGGCATGCACAGACCTCCTGTCACACCACAAGCAGCTTACAGTGGGGCTGCCACCAGAACCCCGTGAGAAAATCATTACCACGTAAGTCAGAGCTTCGTTTCAGTTGTAGAAGCAGACTGCCTTTCAGCTTCCTGCTGGTTTTATTTTTCAACTTCAGAAAGAATTGCAGCCACCAAGGCAGAAAAGTCTGCGGTGCAAAGATGTTTCTAGGTGACGTGGTTCTAGTGCATGTTCAAGAGGTTGACAACAAGTGCTGGACTTATTGCTGACTGTAGTTTGCTCTCTTACAGCCCTCTGCCACCTGAGGAGCTCACAGATCTTATTTATGAAGCCAGTGGCCAAGACATCAGTATTGCTGTCCTGACACAGGTACAGAGCATGGGAAAAAAATGGTTCTTTAAGCTGTGCCCAGTGTAATGCCAGTGTTCTTCTGAGACTGGGAAAGCTGGGATGACCCATTCTGAATGGGAGCTCTTCTGAATTTGTCCTTACAGGAAATAATTATGTACCTGGCAATGTATGTCCGATCGCAGCCTAGTCTTTTCATGGAGATGCTCAGGCTCCGCATTGGTCTGATAATTCAGGTGATGGCCACTGAGCTGGCTCGGAGTCTGAAATGCTCAGGTAAGAATAGTTCTACTGTGGGAGATACTTCTGGCTTTATTTTTGCTTCACCTCAGTTACTAATTTTAAATTTGTGTTAAATTCTGTTGTAAAGAATTTACATATACAGTTAAAAATTGAAAATAATTTCTGTTTGGCTTAATGAAAGATTCCTGCCTTCCTGCCCTCTGTCAGTCTGAAGTAGATGTTAAATACTTAAACATCCTGACTTTCAGTGCTTGAGGTGCCGATACTGAAATTGCAAGTGTGTGTATTTAGGGGCTAATTTCAATGAGAATTAGGACAGTAGGTATCTTCAGAATATTTGAACCTTGATTATTCAGCATTCTTGTGAGTTTTATTCAGCATAAGTTCTGTCCTGTAGTCCTTCTCGCTTGGAATGTACGTGGTTGAAAAATATTTGCTATTTGGATTTCAGCTAGTGATACTTACGCCAGGAGGTCAGTAAAAACACGTACCTCATACAAACCCCAGCTGCTGCATATGCACTGCAAAAAAACAAAATGAAGAAAATAACAAGTTGTACAGGATGAAAATACGACTCTCTACTTAAAAAAGTAGAGAGGAGAAATCATGACTGAAGTGATATCTGAAAAACCACTGACGAATTTTCCACATCAAAGGAATTCAAATTGGTCAGAGGTCAAGACAAAATAGTTGTAAGAAGTGATGAAGTTAATGTGGTGAATGGATAGTCTCAAATGCAGATGCTTAGGAGCATGATCCTTGTGGCTCAGCTCATTGTTGTTCCTAATGTATTAGCACACCCCAAGGGGGATCAATGGAAGTTTATTTTAGAAAGGCCTCGCTTGGGCACCATTGATGTCTTCGACCAAACTCAATGCCTACCTCTAGGGAGATGTTTGTCCATTAGGAGAAGTTGGTAAATGGAGCCAAGTAATTTTCTGAGATAATTCTGTTTCTCCACGAGGAGCATTCAGACAGCCCTGTTTCCCCCAGAGCTGAAGCTGAGTACCAGAAGCTGCTACATTCACAGTTCAAAGCCTCTTTTTCCCATAGTCCCTTCTGTTATTTCTTTGTAAGCCACTCTCAGCTTCACTGCTGCTTTTTCCATGTTCTCCTATGGGAAATTTCTCTGTGCACTCCTGTGCCCATGTGTATGTATGAGCTTTTTCTCACACTTCGAAGCATCATCCTTTAATTAGAGAAAACACCACAAGCCTGCCATTTGCATGCATTTCTTTATGGAATAACTCTGGCTCTGTAATTTAGATCTGAGTAAGATCTTCTTGTGGGAGGTGGCTGCAGTGCCTTTTCAGTTGATGTGCTCTGTGAAGGAGCACCTGCTTCATCATAACCTTTGGTGAGATTTCACACAGCTGTGATAGGCTGCTCAGTAACGTAACCGCCATCATCTCCGTTCAGTGTTGCTTAGTCTTGAAATGTGTTTTCTTTGAAATGACTCTACATATTAATTTTTTTTCTAGGGAAGCATTATCTGCAAAAGTAAGTGATGGAATTTCATTCAGTCAGCAATTTAGTTAGGAAAGCCATCCATAAAGCATCCTATAGTTGCGTTTGATTTTTGTTTTTGTGTGTGTGGCTTTGTTTTGTTTTTGTGGATTTTTATTTGCTTGTTTTTGTTATTTAAACCAGGTGAAGAAGCTTCAGAGAGTTTGATGAATCTAAGCCCTTTTGATATGAAAAATCTCCTACACCATATTCTCAGTGGAAAAGAGTTTGGTGTGGAAAGAAGCTGTAAGTTATCCATTTGGGTATATGTTAAATGGGAACTGTAAATATATAGATTGTGTAGTAAGTAGGAACCTACAATCTCTGCATGTAAAATAGGAGTACAGGTAATGTACGAAACAGATCTATTGCATATATCTGCTGCAGGATAAAAAAAGCACATATGATGGTAACTGTCCTACACAGGAGTAATGTTGTATCCAGGCAAACTTTTAAAATGAAAAAGTTTAACGTGACCAGAAGGAAGATTGTGAAAAGGATGTGTCCATTCTGCCTCCCAGGAGTGTATCTGTGATCCCCAGTATTTCCAGCTGACACTTAACTGTGTCTTAAATCCTCACACACTTAGTGCAACTCCAGTGTCTTTTGAAGCTATGATTGTTCCTTGTCTTTGAAGGTCAAATCCTAACATCCAGCTGTGGCTCTCTATCTCTGAATTGACGTAATCGGGTTTGAATTATTGATGTAATTTGAAAGCACGCTGTCAAAAAAAGCATTGAACACTTATGAAAGGATATGCTTTTATCTGTAACTTCTAGACACAATTTTGTCTCTTTTCCTACCAGTATAATTTCTAAAATGTTCATTTGCTTCTTTTAGTGCGACCTATGGATTCTTCTTCATCCAGCCCTGCAATTTCTATTCATGAAATGGGGCCTTCTGGAGCAACGAAAACAGAAAGAAGTGGTATTACTAAATTGAAGAGTGAGATGAAGCAGGTGAGGGTTTTCTGTCAGTGCATATCAGAAAATGTAGCTGCTCTGGAATGGCGTTTTATCAGAGTTTTGTGTTCCTTTCAGGAAGTTGTTCCAATGCCAAATAAATACATTCTTCATAAATCACAGAAATTGCCAGTCACCCTTTGGTTTAAAGCTAATAGAAGGCAGGAGGGAGATGCTTCTTCCAAAAATGAAGCCTCTTCTTTGTTCTTGTTTCATGTACTGAATATTGCAACTTAGCAAATATAAAAGTCTACTGCATTCATGGCATCAACTTTAAAACAATTTTTTATTGTCTTTAGCTATAGAGAAATCAGCTGCACATTTCACATAGATTTTCACATAGGTGGTTTTCATTCCTGTACTCTGCACAAGTTTTTAATGTGGTCTATCTGCCTTCTAGAAAGGTACATTTGGAAGAGAAAGCTTGGTGGTTTTGCTTTTTGTTTTCCAGTTTTGTTTTTTATGGACAGGAGAAACATACTTCATGTTCTAGCAGTAATCCAAGTTCAGTATTCTTAGTGACACAGCAACTGAGCTTAATGAGAGAAATGATAGAAGACACGAAGTGTTCTGGATGAGTGTGACTGATGGTTTTATTGCAGCTGGTTTTCATTTTTTTGTGTACGTGTGTTTCTACTAGTAATTTTCTTTTGCTCTGGATAAATAGGAAGGAGGTGAAGTGAAAGACATTGATGGGAATTAAGTGTATTATATTGAAGGCATATTTAAAAAACACACTTTCTGCTAAGAGCTTAACAAGCAAGAGCATTTACTCTGAGGCCATTTGTGTAAGTTTTTAGGGAAGTATGGGGTGTTCTGCTTTATATGAAACAAAAATGCTGAATGAGCTTTTGGAGAGGAGGAGCATTTCTGTATAATCCTTGACACAGAGCGTTTTATGTTGATGTAAAGATGAGTTCACAGTTCTTTTTTGTGATACAATTAATCTGGGAAGGCAAGGTGTGGGTGAAATTTGTGTTTTGTACCTTGTGAGATCAGGTCACTGTGTTTGAGCCACTCTGGTGCCTTAGTGTTACTGCGGCCAAGCCTGCCTTGTCCCCTCCTGTGGTGCAGCAGGGTCTGTGAAGCTGCTGCAGGGTGCTAACTGCAGACTCTGGGTGACCTTGGTAGCTCCGTTTGGGCATGGCTGTTAGTCCAGCAGCCTACTGGGGATGTTCAACCTCAGTGCCTTTCCCAGAATGAACATGGACTGGGTGCTATGCAGCAGCATTAAATCTTAAATATAGGTGTGCACATGAGTTGAAACCCTGTGAAGTTTGTCAAGGCTGGAAAGGTACCTCCTTGCATTGCTTTTGCATTAGATAGATGTGGTTTGTTGTTGGTTTTTTTTTTGGTTTTTTTTTTTTTTTTTTTTTCAGGAAAAAAAAACCAGCAGAAGAGTTGGCTGTTTTGCTTTTATTTCCCTTCACCAGTCCATACTTATTGCTTCACACCACATCTCAATGTATTTGTGAAATACCATCTTAATGTCTTTGTGGTTGGAGGGACAACCAACTTTGTGTCAGGAAAAACATTTTGAGCACTATCACGAGACAGAGCTCTTGTGTTGAACATCTACAGCTCTCCTATTTGCTGCAGATGCTTCTGGAATGTGTAAACTCAGCCTTTGCCTGTATCTGAGGCTGTCATGGCTTTCTTTTGAGTACCTGAGTTTATTCCGTGCTCCTTGCCTTTGTGCAGATGGGTTACATAACCTTGTTTGTGTCGTGACAGTCTGTCTGATTTGTTTGTGTCTGTTTTTGTTTTGTAGTTCTTTCATGAGGGCCACTCCATGTCCAGCAGCATGTTCGCTTCCAGGGTAAAATGATATCTGCAGTTCTGTTCCTGCTCTTCACCCTACGTGTGTCTGTATATGTCTGCATACACGTGTGCAAGGACCTTAGCTCTAAACTCCTCCTGCTGCTTCTGCTCTGTGAAAGCTTCTTTCAAACCCTCTTTGTGTAGTTCATCTTCACTGGGAGCCTGTTCTCATTAGTAATCTTTTAATAGCTCAGTCGCACATTTAGATCCACTTAGCTCTTCCTAATAGTAAACAGCTGAAGCAGATAAAGCACTGTCACAGATTTAGCTACCTGATTATATATTGCAGGTGTCATCAGTATTTAAAAGTAACGTAGCATTTATGCTGGCAATCTCTGGCTGATGATGACCAGCACAGTTTCAGAGTGCTGGCAGTTTCAGAGGCAGGGATTTTATAGGCTCAGGCATCTCCTCAGGCAGTCATTTTCTTTCAAGGCAGAAAATTGTAGCACTTAAGCTTTTGCTGTTAAGAAGGAATATAATTGTTTGAATATTTTACCAGTAGAAGCCTTAGCGATTTAAATTCTGAGACTCCAGATCTGTCACCAGGAGATGGAAGGTTTGCAGCTGTGTGTGCACTCTGAACTGGTGATTGTGATGAGTGCACCTCTGCACTGTCCTCAGTGGCACAGCCCTCAGGTGCTCTAAATACAATTACAGAGCACCCCTAAGCACGTTGCTGCAGCCTCTCTCTTCCAACATAGCAGTGCAGAAAGAGAAGATTCAGCTGCATTTGATAAAAGTGCACAGAAGTTTTTGAATGAGATCTCTGCCTGAGTAGTCAAATTAATTACTGTTTGTGGATGGATTTCTGCTTTGCCATTGACCCTCCTGTGTCCTCTGGTGCTGCAAAATGAAATGGAGGAGATCCTGATTATCTCAGTCAGGGTGTCATAGTAAGGAATAGGGGGCATCAAGGGAGCACCACCTACATCTCACTGACACCAGCAGAAGTGAAAAATGGACTTTGTTTTCATTTACTGATGTTTCTGTGGAGCTTGGCTCTGTGGAGTCACTGAGCATACCCCTTGCAAACATGCACTTTTTGGTCTTATTTCCCACTTTCCTCAGTACCCTGCTCGGGCAGTTCTGTGCTTAGAGAGGACGGGATTTCAGAAGGGACCATCAGTGAAGTCCTTCCTGAGCTGAAAATAATGGATGTGCAAAGAAGTACAAGGGAGGCAACAGAATAGCAGAAGGCCTGGGAGAGTGAAGATGGGCAGCCTGCACATATCCTGGTGTGACAGTAACAGTGAGGATGTGGTGGCATTGTCACATCTTTGAAGATGATTTGCTGCTTAGCTTAGTCTTCAAGTCTGGTAGAGTTAAAATAGAAAACCAATCATAAAATCATTAAGATTGGAAGAGACCACTAAGATCATCTTGTCCAACCATGAATCATGACAACAAAGGAAAACAAGGTTGATGTTTACAGAGAGTTGGGTGTGGTAACTGTATGACCACATAAACTTGGTCTTTAATCAGCATACGTTAATGGATTGGTTTCTATGGAGGACCTCACTACAGACCCACTGACTCTTTTACTCTTACCCACTTACTCTTTTGAGCCTGAAGTCTGAATCAGACCTATCAGTAAATCCCACCACTGAATGCAGCAGTAAAGCTGCCATGTCAGCCAGCTCATACTTGAAACGGCCGTGCTTTGAGTTGAACCGAGCAGTTATGCCTTGTGGCACTGCTGGCTCATTTCGTTGAGAAATGATTGAAGCATGGGAGAAGTGAAGTTTGTCATGAAAGGGGAAGAGTGGAATGAGACTGCTCCATCACCTTGTATGATGCCGTGGCCTGTGGTTTTTCTCCTGGCCCTGAGCTAGCACTGTAGCAGTACGACATCTTCACAAGCAGTACCACCTATGGGGGTATAAAGCAACTAACTGAGGCTTTAATGTTTCTTACAGAGGAGCAGTACTCCACCATCTCCTTCCAGTACTTCTCCCACCAGTTCCAGCGGAGACATTAGTTGGGGTGACCGCAAAGGGCAGTGGCTGCGCAGAAGAAGGCTTGATGGTGCCATTAACAGAGTTCCTGTTGGCTTTTATGAGAAAGTATGGAAGATTCTTCAGAAGGTAGGTTGACAATTATAGCAGTAAGAAAACAAAGCAGCTTATGGGAAGATGGTGTTGCTGGCTAAAATTTGTCTTCAACTGTACGACTAGTGGAAACTGGAATTATTGGTAGCAACGTATCTGTAGGAGATATAAGGGCTTCATTAATGCAACTTCACATATTTGCTTGAAAGTGTTTTTTTTTTTCTCTGAAAACACCGGTGCACAGTTTTTTGCTGATCAGTTGTGTTTTACCACTATTCAGCATCTCTCCTGGCCTAATGCAGGCTGTGCTCTCTGCCGCTGAGGGGCACTGTAAAGCAGTGCAATTCCCATGCTCCTGCTGGAAAAGGCTGCAAGGAATTGGCTTGGAAGTTTCACTGACTCTTCCAAAATGATGAAAACTTCCTGGCTTTTCTGAGCTGTGTAACTCTTCTAGTGTTACTTGCTTCTTGTTATATGAAAAGTAATCCGTGGGAGCACCTTGAAGATCTGAGGTATGGAAATGTGTTGAAGCAGATCTCCAGGAGGGAGAAAAGGGGAATTAAGAATTTCTGTTTATTTCAAGGCAATGCACCTGTTCTTCTGCTTTGCTGAGTGTCAATATTTGGCAGCCTGCAAAACTGAACTATTCAAGCCTACACCATTGCGGAGATACTGAGCACCTGCTTTGGTTATCGTAAAATCAGTTGTACTGAAGCTGTTAGTGTTGATGTCAGCCAAGACGAATCATATGTGACCACTAGATTTAGATGAGATCTTTCGATGCAGTGAACGTCACTTGTGTACACAAAGTATTGTCCTCTTCTTAGTGATTTTTTTGTGCCTGAGGTACCCAGCTGTGCCATTCTTTAGCCTGCCACCCCTTAGGTCATATCCTTTTCTTGTGTGTCACACTCAGTGTTGCTGACACCATCTCCATGACTGCTGGTGGCCCATTTCCAGCAACCACAACATATTGAAGTCCTTCAATTGTGGTATCCTGCATCTCAAGCACTTAACTAAGTGTTGTTTCAGTGAAAAATGAGAAATAAAGGTTCTCAGTTCCATGGTTTCTTGTTATGCTTTTGCATTATGTGACCCATAGAAGGTTTTTTGTTCTTGTCTTCTGTCTGCTCCTTGCTCTGGTGGCTCTCCCAAGGAATTTCCTCCCATTCAGTAGCTAGAAGGGAGTATAGAGCACTGTGCAAGTGTTGTGTAAGGTTATTTCTGACAGTTGCCAGGCTACATAATAAACTCTCGAGCAAAGGTGAGGTAGTAGTTTTAACAAGTTTTGTTGTTGTACTGAAATTTATTACATGTTGGCTTGGATCATTCAGATTTGCTTGCAAGAACTATAATTTCTGTTCACGGTCAAACTGCTTTTGTTTCAGTGCCATGGTCTGTCCATTGATGGGTATGTCCTTCCTTCTTCAACCACCAGAGAGGTACAGTAAAATGCCAAGGGTGTTTCTGTCATATGGCTGAATGTTTGATTTGGCAGTGTAAGATGCAGAGCAGGATTGATGCTGCAGGGTCATTGTAAGAACAGTCACTGTGAGAAGGGGCTGAGGTGGTGATCTTTCCTCCAGCATCTCCCTGGCTTCACTGGAGGCTGTAAAAAGAATTTTTCCTCCACCCATGCCTGGCAGTGGGTTTGGGAGGGTTTGCCCCTTTGCTGTGTCTGCTGTCTGTGTGCCTTCACCAACAGCAGTTTGCTTCCTTTGTTTCTGAGGGTGGTGGTAACAGCTGAAGAGAAGGGCTGGAATTTTCTGCCAAATTTAAACCTTATTTTACAGAATAGAAGGCTTTATTTATTGCTATTGTATAAATAAATAGGCTTATGTTTTTGGTATGTCAGACTTAGACAGTATCTAATTTTGCCATTTAAAGGAATCAAACTAAATAAGCACAGACAGCGTTTCACACAACATCCATACAGCTGTACAGTGAGAGTTAGGCTGTTCTGCAAGCAGCAGAGCTGTGTGTTGGTGTTAAAGCACATCCGATCTCTATATTAAGTTCAGTTTTGCAGTTAATGTGAGATACCAGAGTAGTGCTTGGAAAGCAGAATGCATGAGGCTGTCACATTAAGAGCAAAGAGATGACTTTGATGGCGAGTTGACCTGATAGTGGCCTTTCAGTATCTGAAGGGGAGCTATAGGAAAGAAGAGGACAGACTCTTCAGCAGGGTCAGTGGTGACAGGACAAGGAGAAATGGTTTCAAGCTTGAAGAGAGTAAATTTAGGTTAGATATAAGGAAAAAGACTTTTATAGTGAAGGTGACGAGGCACTGGAACAGGTTGCCCAGAGATGTGGTGGAGACACATCTCTGGAGCCTTTCAAGGCAAGTCTGGATCAGGTCCTGGGCAACCTGATCTGGCTGTGGTGGGACATTGTTCACTGCAGAAAAGTTGGACTAGATGGCCTGTAACAGTCCCTTCCAGCTCTAAGGATTCTATGATAATTTGCTAACTAAGCATCAGCAGTCCCATATACAAACAAAATATGTATTTGTGATGGGTCACAGGGCTGGAGCAGTTTCTGGAAGCTACACAGCTGCTTGCAGGATCAGGGCCCAATGACAGAAAGTTTCTGTAAGTGCTGAAGCTGTACAAATGTTTTGTTAACTTCAATCAGTGCCCCCACATGAGGAGAGGAGCTTATGGTTCAGAGCTTGGTGGTGTGTGGGGGAACTGCTCTTTTGGGTTTGTCAGTTTTTCTTTCTTTCTCTGACTTGCCAGATGACCCCATGTGAAATCAAGTTTGCTGTACATGTGGAGTCTGTGCTGAACCACGTCCCCCAGCCTGAGTACCGGCAGCTCCTAGTGGAAGCCATTCTTGTCCTCACATTCCTGTCTGACATCGAGGTGAACAGCATTGGGGGGATCATCCATGTAGACCAAATAGTGCACATGGCCAACGACCTCTTCCTGCAGGAACTGGTGAGTCCAGAGTGCAAAGGAGGAAATCCTTCACATCTGAAATTTGTCCCCTATTCATTTTTGTGTGTGTGATGAATTTGACCAAATTCATGCCCCAGTCAGCTGCATGCAGCTCCACCTAATTATAGAAGAACATTGAGAAAGCTAAGCACAGAGTGTTCAAATTATCAGTATTTGAGTAATCAAAAAGAAAAAAAGACAAAATTTGTGAAGCTAGATGTTCCTTATATACGTGAGTTTATCCAAATAAATAGGCAAGGGTGTTGAGGCACTGGTACAGGTTGCCCAGGGAGATGGTCAGTGGCCTGTCTGTAGAGATATTCAAGGTCAGGCTGGACGGGGCCGTGAGCACTCTGATTGAGCTGTAAGTGTCCCTTTTCATTGCAGGGCAGTTGGACCAGATAGTCTTCAAAAGCCCCTTCCATCTCAAACCATTCTGTGATTCTGTGTGTGTATACTGTAATGAAGGCTTCAATGAGGGAAGGGAGGATTGCTTTCTGTATTCAGCACAAATGCAAAATCATCATGGGGTCTTTTAATTCCAATAAATAAGCATAACTGCCTAACTTTCCCTATATCTTTTCTCTGTATCTTTTCAGAAATCGTACGGAGCTACGGGTGGTATCTTGGAGAAGGATGTGGCCACAGGAATTTGTCACTTCTTTTATGACAGTGCCCCAAGTGGGGCCTACGGGACCATGACGTACCTGACAAAAGCCATAATTATTTATTTGCAGGATTTCCTGCCTAGCACAGGCTGTGTGATGCAGTAAGCAATGTCTCACTAGGGAAAAGAGGCTAGGAAGCTTCTCCCTGTTTTGCTGCCATGAGCTGCCTGTTCGCTGCGTGTCAGCAGATAAACCAGTCACAGTGTTATGTTACCTGCACACCTGCCTGAGGGGGACAGGTGGGTGGAATGTGGCCTCATTTTAAGGGAGGGTGTGAGAAAGAGCAAATAACGAGGCTTATTCTGCCTAAACTGCATAAATGTAATTCGTATTAAATTAGCAAGAATTAGTTCTGCCAAGGGGGAAACAGATTACTCTGTGGAGATCAAAAGGCATAATAAAACGAGGGAGCTGAATCTCAGGCACAGAGTTTCCCAAATAAGGGAAATAATGGAACTCATTAGTTTTTCTCCTGCCAATCTGTAAATCTACATTGCTGTGAATCACTAATGTGCAGTGTGAAACATCCAGGGGTAATGTAAATGAAAGGAATTGGGAGAACTGGAAACAACCAGGTGGTATTTTTAATACACATTCACCCTGATTCTCATCTCGTTTGCACCTCGTTAGTGCAGGGCTAGCGCCGGTAGAGACAAATGTCTTACAATAGCCACTAATTTGAGATGATAGCAGCTCTCAGGGAGATGCCTTTCGCTTTAATCTGAACAAAGCTGCTTCCTTCCCTCCACAGGCACAGTCTCAAGACTCCAACTGCTCCGAGGTGACAGGGAATTTTATGCTGTATTCTTTTTCTCTGAACAGAGAAAGATAGATCTCAGCCACTTAAGCACCCTTCCATCTCTCCTGATCGTTTCCCTTGCAAATAGCCTCGGTGCTGAGAATGGCGTAATAGCCGCCCTTCCAGTGCAGGGAGAGTTTATAGAAAGCTTTGATTTTTCCTCTCTGTCTTTGTTTCCCCCTCCACCCCCCTTTTTTTTTTTATTATTATTATTTTTTTCTTTGAAGGCACACTTGTCACTCATGGCTAGGGATGGGCTCTCTGGAAGTCTCCCTCCAGCCATCTCCCAGTTTTGTGCCTGTTATCACCATGAGTAGGTCTACTGCAAGCAGCTGTGTGGCTGCTTTGAGCTGCTGCGACTCCTGCTGGGAAATGGCTCCACAGTCACTTAACCTGGCAGCAGAGAGAGGTTGGATGAAAAGAGGGCAGCAAAGCCTCTGTCTCACCTGCCAGTTACTGGCACGGTGGTGCCGGGGAAGATGAGCTTGAGGTGGCAGAGCCACACCAGAGGTGCTGCTGCCACATCTGTGCTCTTGCTTGGGAGAGAGAAGGCAGGTGGGGGTGGGAAGCCTGAGGAGGTGATGCAGAAGTAACAGGAGAACTTGGCAGTCTGCGGACCCTGAAGCTTCTCCGAGGATGCTCTGGAAGAGGCAAGCAAGGTCTGTGCTAGATGTGGATAGGTTAGGATAAAGAGGTGGTTTAGACTGAAACAAGGGTTTGGAATCTACAGAACATTAAATTCTCTCCCCCCCCCTTTTTTTTTTTTAATGGGAGTAACAGTGAGTGTCTTTGATTTAAAATTTCTGCTATGATCTAACTTAGGATTTATGTTTGATAATCATGATTAGTTATCACATGGAACCCAGGCACTGGCAGAGGACTTAGAAGGTGCTTTGAAGAATTCGGATAGCTGCTGGTAAACAGTGGGATGCTGAAACACAGCATGAGTAGAGGGAGATCTCATTTAACTTGCAGGTCAGGTCCTGCTGCTGAGCTATGGTGGCAGTGTGGTGTCACTTGGAGTCCCATTTAGTGCAGACCCAATTAAGCAAACAAGCTTTTGCACCAAACACTCCCACACCTGGCAGAGGATGCACCTGTGTGCTACTAAGCTGTTACAAAACAAAAGGAGTGCTGCTGGAGGTGAGGCTATGCTCCCCAGGTGAAAGCTGTCACAGCTCTACCACTAATTGGCAGTGATGGGTTTGGCTGTCGGGCTTCCCAGGGGACTGAGAGGAGGATGACATGGCCAAATTCCAGGTCTTGTTTACAGAAGGAAGGTGAAGGTAGGTTGACATGTCCTGTCTCAGAAAGAAGGGCTTCCAGCAGCTGAGGTGGTCCCCTGGGCCCTGCTTTTTCGGCCTGCCATGTGCAGCTGCCACAAGTACTTTGTGCTTGGCTGTGTGACAGCTGCTAGGACCTGTAGGGCCAGGCTGTGGCTTGTGCAGAGGAATGTCACTGCAGCGTGTTATTTATTAGCCCCTGCAGAACACGGTGAGACATAAAAAATTTGGGATGAGAGTGATGAAAGAGCCTTATCTGGATCTGTTTGGATTTAAGCACATGTAACTGGGCCATGAGTGGCTCCCCGTTTTGCACTTCGGTGGCTTTTCTTCTTGGCATGGCGTGCTTTGCAGTTATCTCCCCTCCTCTACTCTCTCCTTCTGCTGGGGGTGAGGGTGCCCCAGGCTACCTGCAGCAGCTGCTGGGTGTTGCTTTTGGTTGGATGACTCAGTTCCTCTTGTGCTGCAGCTCTGCAGCCCTAAAAGCAGTGTATGCTAAGTGCTGCATTGCGACCTTCCCTCCTCTCTCAAGGTGAGCATCCTTCATCTGAATCCTCCACTCTTCAACCTGTTGTGCTCTGTTCCACGTAGGTTGTCAAAATACAGGCAAGAAACAGACCACAAACTTACACATTATGTGAAAGCTCAAGCTTTATTTTTGTGATCTACTGTATGTGAACATGCTTTGGCTTAAGCCCTGATTAAGGTGAGAAGTTAGGATCACTTATTAACCCCCAAACCTAACAACTGCAGCAAAAGTAACCAGTGCTAAGTACAAATCTGCGGCAGGTATAGACACCTTTCCTTTTAAGTTGGGTCCGCAAACCTCAAAGAGGAAAACTAGTAATGTGGAATGCTATAATTACATCGTGCAAAGAACAAGATTAAATATGCAGAACTGCTTATTTTAATGAGAAGGTTCTTCCCTGTTTTCCTCACCTGGAGTCCACAGCAAGCCTGTTTTTCCTGTTACACATCCCCAAGGAGAGACTGGTATGTTCTCTGTGATCATCGATGCTATTTCTTAGCTCTAAGGGCTGCTGGGAGAAATTTACCAGAGCATCTCTTGCCATGGCACTGTAGCTGCTACCTTGGTAGCATTCACAGATTAGGGTGCTGGAGGAGATGACACCAAGGGTGAGGATAAGACACTAATGTGGCAGTGACACAGCAATGCTGTACGTGGTAGTGGTCATCCCTTCTGCTTTCCTCACGAGAAGGTATGCATCATCCCAAAGGGATTAAACACAGGTTTACGCAGTGACCGCAGCGCTTACCATTTATTGTTTGTCAGTCTGGAAATTGTTTTTCTAGGCTGCTGTGACTACAGCAGGAAGGTGAGCTCCTGTGACCCCCCCCAAGAAGTTCTGCCCTTTCCCTAGGCTGCCTTGTTCTCTAGTTTGCGAACCACATGAAAGGCCTCTAAAAATTCATTGAAGTCAATATAGCCATCTTTGTTGTAGTCTATGCTCTGGGCTAACTTGTCAATGGCTTCATCATGTGAATAAATACCCAGGTAAGAACTGAAGATTTTCCAGGTTTTGCGGAACTCATCAGGTGAAATTAGACCTACAGGAAACAGAAGACAGTTTGCTTTTTCCAGTACTTTTCCCCTTCCTCCATCCACACTCACATGAACACTCCTCCACTTCCAGGAAGTCACCTGCTTAGCAGGGCTTCTGTGGGATTTTTTTGTTATTTCACAACTCAACTACAGTTCGAGTGCAGAAGGGAGAAAACCATCAAAGTGACAACAGTACTGGAAACTGCGTGAAGACTTCTCGAGTTAGATACCGTCCCTTATATGGGTACAGCATGACTGCTTAAATTAGCCTTCACTAATTCAGAAAAATGACATCACCTCTGGTTCCTCTCTATATAGAAGCCTTAAAAGGAGGAAACACAGTGGGGAAAAATAACCAGTACAGGCTTCTAAGGGTCACGACTGTTAGTTACTGAGCCTTACCTGACCGATCTTCATCCATGATGTTGAAGATCACCTGCAGATCTCTTCTGTATTTGCACAGCGTTTCCACCAAAGTTGGCTGAACCTGGTTTTGAAATCATGTACAGGAAACCATTTAGACTTTGGGTTTAGGTTAGCTTAACTGACAGAACATGTACAATTATCCTAATCTATTTTACTAGTTTAACTTGCCAAATGTTGGGGAAAAAATCCTTATGCAAAAGTTCAAAGGAATGGTGTTTTGTGTCTTGCCCCAAATCAGCTAAAACCTGCTACATATGGTGGGGTGGGGGCAGGTGAAGGAGCCCTTCAAGCCTCCTGCTTTCAGTAACTATTTGTGGAAAAAATGATAATCTGGGGAAAATGCTGTATATCATTTACTCATGAAACTTTCATTTGACATATAGGAATGGGTCCTGCTGCATAGAAAAAATGGTGTTGAGAGCTAAGTACCAAAGCACTGTGCATTCATGCAGTAGCAACTGGACTCTGTAGAAGAGACCTCATCTATCATGAAACACCTAAAAGCTCACCTCCAACTGTGACTTCATCTTACAGGTGCCAGAGCAGCTCTGAGCGCATCTGAAAAAGCTCATCTCAAAAGAGTGCTCACAGTAGGATTTGTCGCATAGCTCCTCAGCTACCTTATCAAAATGCCCTTGAGAGTCAATGGAATGTACAAAGCAGTCCTAGCATGTGATTCATCCGGCCTATTTTAAGTCTACCTTAGCAGGGAATGATGATTTGTGCCTTTAGAAATGCTTATTTCTCTCCAGTAACTATAAAAGGAAGCTAGGTAACTAGTTCAGAGGCAGATCTCTACTGGAGTGGCCAAACCACTGCCTTGTGCATCAAGCTGCACTGAAAGCTGTTTCTCCAAGATTTGGAAGGATGTGTTTTCCTTCTTACCTGATGCATAGGACGAGCTGTGTCCATATAGTAAAAACATGACATGTAGTCAACGTTTCCATCTGGATCTGTCTTCACTAACTGAGACTTCAGTGTCCTCCAGGGCAGTTTGAGTTGTAAGACTGACTCCATCACTGCTGCCCAGTCACTGACAGAAATCCTGCCTGCTGGGAGGGGTCAGCTCATGGTTACAAGCAGTGCGTGACACAGCACAGATGAGACCCAGCAACCCCAGCATGCCTTCTGACATTGTTTTACAACACTCACAAAACATAAATGTTTTTTCCTAAGCAAGGTAATAAAAACAGTGAGGTCAGACGAGGCATTTCCAGAGGTCCCTTCCCACTGCAACAATTTTGTGATTCTATTATGACTATCAGCATGCTTTAATGCCTTTGGAGAAAAACAAATTATGCTATGTGTATATATATGAAGAGTACTTCAGATGTGAGTCGAGTTGCAGC